CGAGATCATAATCCTATTTTTTACCAATCCTACAGTGCTGTGCTTTTGCTCTTCGCGAACCGCCCGATCCGAGAGTAGGTTTTTGCATCAAGACTTTGAGTATCCGCAAAGCCTTTGCAGAAAAGACTTTTTCCCAAGCCAAGGACAGTTTATGCAATAAACGTAGTGCTATTTGAACACTCACGAAGAGAAGCCCTTGGTTTATGTGCTTATATAGTATCTTCTTCCACTGGAACAATTTTTTTTTCTAACTGTTTATTTTGCCCTATTGGTCTAAATGATATTTGGTGGGTAAATATCACAAGCAATGCCCATTGAGGGAAACGAGAAACAAAATTATGCTAGAAATTGAAAGCTGTATTACTTTTTCACCGATTTCAGTGTAATAAAGAATTAAAAATCTCAGTTGAAATATCCAAATGAGTAGAGTGTTTCGAAAAAACTTAAACTTTGAAAACATGCTAGAAATGCATCTGTAGACTGTTTAGAGTAGTTGATAGAGGTCAGTCTCAAGATTATGCATATACATGCATACGTAAGAGTTATTCATGGAATTTGAAACGTTCAAGAGATCTTTATAATTCTTCAATGTCAATAGCTTAGATTGCACACACAAATATATATGAAAGAGTAAAGCTAAATTTTGATTATACTATCAAGATATTTCAGGTAGCTACGTATGGGTTTAGCATTTTGATGTGTTGTTAAAGTTCATGAAAGAGAAAAGAATTGCACAACTCAGGAAGTAGTAGCAATATATCGAATCTGCCCAAAGCTGAAGATATGCCCTAATCCCAAGAACTAAAGGAATATTCTCATATAGATAAGAGAGAAGATCAGGTTGAGAGTTATTCGAACACCTGGATGCTCAAGTAAAAATAGCAACACTCATAATATGAAACAATATAAATGGAAAGCTAGTTCTAAGTTGACAGAAAGATGAGGACGAGCAACGTGAAAGTTGCCACTAAAGAGACTTTATTCCAATACAAGAGGTGGTGGTACAATAGATTTGCATCGTGACTAACCTCTACAATATCTCGCCAAACAAAATAGTATATACAAAATATACACATGTAAGCTACCATTGAATGAAGCGAAGAAAAGGATAGGAAACTTTAGATGTGACATGTTACTGGTACAAAACTGAAGATCAGAACCTCGCTGTGAAAAATCTGGCAAACAAATCTCCCATATCTATACATGTATTGGCTAATGGACTACACCTAGAAAGCTTATAGGCTATTATCCTTGATACCGTCCCGACTTTACATTAGCCAGCAAAGCCCATTTGGCACTGTGCAACAACAAAAGACCTTTCTAACCAAAAAGTCCAGATCTGAAATCTGGGCAAAGCAGGAAAAGCCCATCCGGCCTTTCGAAATGGGAGGGTCTGTCTGTTGTTCTGACAGGACATAGATGTAAGTTGGAGTGGGAAGGAAGTGATCAATTTGTGATTGTCACGGCTGGACAGGAGAATGTGCCTACAGTGACAAAGAAAGTTGATTTCATTGATTGATGCATTCATCCATGACTTAAGGGTTATTGTAGCTACAGTGTTTATGCCAATTCTTAGCAAATCCGCCAACAGTGGCCAAAGTACGAAAACACTATTTTGTTTACAGCCAACCGCTTACAGCTTTGCTCAACTTGAAGATGAAGGGACTCCATGCGACAGAATATACGGCACCTTTTATATCTTCAATAAGCTGCTGCCATAGAATCTGTCCAGTCCATCTCAATCCGGGCTATCACGTATAATTACAACTCGAAGGGCACACGAGGGCTTGTAATGTCGTAATAATATGGGGTTGGTTATGATAATGTAGAACTTGGTGGAGATCCCATGATCAAGTCTATATTCTCCTTTTCTTCAACTGTTTGCTCAATGAGAAGAGTATCCAGCGGCAGTTAAAAAATGAAATACTACTTCAAACACTATACATGACCGACCAAAATACTGATTAGTCAGGACTTTTCTAACTTGTATTTCTCTCATTGGTAAAATTTCACTACAGTAATAATGAAAGGGACGTACCTTCTACCCAATGTTTCACGAAAGGGATAATGTTTTATTATGATATAGATGATGTGTAACTCAGTAGACATAAAACAGTTTCTAAAGCACAATTTTTCTGCATCATCAGATAACCAACTGCTTGTAGCAAGCACTCCAAAATTTTTTGATCGCCTCTTGCTTTACTATTTTGAGAGAGTCCAAGACCAACAGCCTCCACTTTGATTACTCTTGTAGTAAGTTTACTGGGTTCTTCAAGATAGAATCATGCCGACATATACTTAAACTACCACCACATCAGTGAAGGTGATTTGCTTTTGCCAGAACTATAACCATATACACTTGAAAGGAGTATCACGTCACTCTGTAGGCTGTTATGGTTAGGTTGTACATTCGATGCTCTGGCCTATTCTAGGTGGTTGGAATGTGAAGATTCCCATCCTTCTCCCTGAGACTTTAATTCTACAGAGAATTCTATCACGATGAGATCAATGCCTTGTTTTTTTGGGGTCACAATCAACTAGGATAGAGACCTTCGGCATTTTATTACAATAAAAATCCTTTAAAATCTCTGTGCAAAATGTGCTACCAGTGCTCAAGTGACTTTTTCAAAAGAACATCAACTGACATCTGATTTCCAACTCAACGAAATTAAGAAGATATGTAAATATAAGAATTTATTCATGTGTCCGTTTGACATTTTTGTAAAATATTTATCTAGAGCATTTACAATTCTCTCAGGTGGAATGTCCGTACATGATCCAAATAAAATTTTGGTTGGTGGTCAAAACAAAAGTGTCAAGAGTTTGTAATCTTTCGGTGAGTTTTGTTATTCAATTCGGAAGTTCTCTATATTTACATCTGTTTTACAATCTGCTGAATTGGACATATGCTTCTGAGTTCTAAGTTCTGATAGACCGAAGGCTACTATTCTTTATTCGTCTTATATTGGATGAGTCTGTTTATTATACCATATTAAAATCATTTAACTGGAGGTGACAAAGTTGGAAGAGCACGTACCTTTGTAATGTTCTTCCGGGCGTAACACATGTTATATCAAGAGGTTGTAAATTCTGATGCACATTCTACTGCAGTGCATTTTATTCTAGAACAATCGCATTGGCAATCAAAGCTAGCCACTATCTCCAAGTACGCGAAGCTTAAGATGAGGTATCAAATACTCTAAGAAAAGGGCGACACCCACTACCAAAGGACAAAAGTTTGTTTCACTACTGGACGGTAATGTTAAGCGATTCTTTCGCATGAGGACGGAGTTGTTGAGGCCAACCTGCCCCATCCATATCTATCGGATGGGGTGGGCTGGATTTTATATACGTACTCACTTGTTCACTACCACTGCGTAGTAGTCACGGAGAGAGGGAGCAAGCCAAGCCAGCAATGGAGAAGTACAATCCAGTGTTGCGAGGAACATTAGCAGTGAACTGGTTGTTGAGCAGGTTGATGTCGCAATCTGAGCTTGTCAATTGTACCGAGACTATGAGTGGTACCTTGTAGGCATAAATCTGTCTCCGATACGGATACAATGTCATCCGCTGTAGACGATGGACCCACAGTCCCAGAGCAAAACAAACCAGAAAGGAGGCAGGGAGAGGAGGGGCACCACATGTGGCTGACTACACTACGACATGTGGGCTAAAAGAAGAACACTTCCTGAAAGAAAAGACGGGGAAAAAAAAGTTGAGTTCTGGAGTAGCACCAATGAAAGCAATGCTTCGATTATCACACAAATTCACCGAGAGGAAGAGAAGAACAGTAGAAGGCAAGGCCATGATATGCGGGGCATTGCAAGTCACAAGATTCAAAACCGAACCCCACCCGCGCCCATGTGGATGACAGGGAACTCGCTTGGAGATGGAGAGTGGGGGAAGACAGGATGGTGTCTCAAGCAAATTCGTCTTAACAAATTAAGAACTTATCATCGTCGTCTACCAATCACGGTATTTCTCACAAGAAAGAGACCACTTGGTCTGACATCGCGAAACATCCATCAATATTTACTTCCCTTTTGAATCAAATCACACCTCTCATCTCACAGACAAGTTCCTTCATAAAATCAGCGGCAACTCACATGCCAAACCAGATTGGTGTAACCCGACCGAGCATGTGAGCTCATGACGGGTGTCGGATTCGATATAACAAAGTAGACGTAAGAGTTCGAGAAAGGGAGGGGTCAAGTTCAAATCCAGTCCTCCGCAATAACACATCTCAGAACCTCCAAACGACGTTAAGACAAGTCCAAGAGTGTAGTGAATGGGACCTCCCAGAGACTGAAGTCAGACTCATGATGATGGGTACGAACATTTAAGCAAAGAGGTTTTGATACTGTTAGGTAACCTTATAGGGATAAAGAGATAAAGGAAAATGGAAAATAGTTTGAAATATATTGCACAGCCCATCGTGTGGCTGAGAAGCAGCCATGGCAGTTCAGGCTGCATCCGGGCGACGATCGTAAAGCTAAGCGGAAAACCTTAAAACTGCATCAAGTCTAGGCTCTAGGGATCACTCACGGGTATTAAGTGAGGGGTAGAAAATTGGATCTACTGATCAGTCCGTTAGATGATGATCAACAAGATAATTACTCAATTTAAGTAGTAAATTATCCCGTGATTAGTGACTGAAGGTTTACGAATGCACATTGCATGCTTGGATCTTGATTGCGCTCCCCGCCTTATTAGGAGCGGGCCGAGCGGCTTAGCTGTGGCCTCACTCTAATTACTACCCCCGAGTTATGAAGCTCCAAGACCGATCGAAGAAGAAGTAGAAGCCCTTTATTGCTTTGGCCCCTTCTTCCTTTGCCTTCTTCCTCACCATGCACTCATTTGCCACCGCCGTCTCCCGGTTGCCGGTCCCGAGCAGCCGGGCTCCGGACCCCGGCTGGTCCGGGCCCGGCAGAAGTATTTCAGAGTAAATGGGTATTTGAGTGACATGGGACATCGAGTTTTAGAGAGTTTCGTCGGGCTTCGAGAGCGGGTCGGTCGGGTGGTGGCGCCTACACACACTCGCAGACAGACTATGCACTGCTTCTACTACTACAAACAAGAACCGTTGGCTCACTTCAATATCTCAGAAGGAGCAGAAACTCGAAGAAGAAGAAGTAGAAGAAGAAGGCCTCTCTGATTCCTCGAGCTCCTTTCCTCCGTCACCTCACTTGCTGTGTCGCTTGCCTCCTCTCCCTCTCTCTCTCTCTCTCGACTCGGAGAACTCCGACCCGAGTCTGTCGCGCGTCGAAATTTCTCTCAGGCTGCCGTCCTACACTCCAGTCCATTCCATTCATCTGACTCTACGAAGAAGGAAGGACGTGTGGAGGTTGTGGCTCGATTCTGAAGTGAAGCAAACCACTGTTGACTCGTTCTTTGTGCTCGCTACTCGAGCTCTAGCTCACCGCTTGTGAGCAGCGTGCTTAGCTGCGACGATCCGCTTCGTCGAAAGTGTGCGTGCATCCATCGCTCTCCGGGTGGTGAGCTGCAGAACAACGAACGTCCCACCACCTGCTGTTAATCCGCTGCTCGCTTCGGCTCCTCGCTTCTAGCATCATCCCTCCAGGACCTGGGATTTTGTGTGCCGCCGCCCCGGACCTCCGAGTGCACCATTTGATCGTTGCACTCTCGCTGCGCAGAGAAACGTGCTCTCTGAGACAGTCGTCGGGACCTGGTGCACGTGGACTTATCAAAGAAGACCCGAGAATCGGCTGCGAACCGCACTGTAGATTGATGACTTCTGCGGTGTCGGGGATTGGATATTCAGGCCGCCGAACGGCTCGTCGAAGTCTGCTGCCCTTTCATTCTCGTTAAGAAAAGCTCGGCTGGGATTTGAACTTCCCGGCCTGCATTCGGGGTGCAGTATATTGCTTGCACGTCGTCACCAAGTGCTCGGATGCTTGGATCAGTTAGTCGGATTGTGGTCAGTGCCAGCAGCTAGTCACGTGGGTTTCACACTCCGATCACAGCGTGCCTCTCTACAGCCCACACGGTCGAGGACGTTTGGGGATTATGCTGAAGCGTCGTCGATTGCGATTCGCGTGCGGACGGAAGTTGTCTTCGAGGCAATGTTGGTAATTTTAACAAGCCGAGTTTGAGTCGTACCACTCAGATCCTGTACAATTGGGTCCATAGCAGCTGCAGCTGAGCCGAGGCAACCCACTCAAGCCTAACTGGCTTGGCTCGGTGTCTCGCGGCCTGGGTGCAATTGAGGCCGTATGATCAAGGCGGGGCAGACCTGCATCTGAAAATTTGAGACTTGTGGTACCGAGAGAGTGAAGTGAAGTCGAACTTTTACATCATAAGGTGTCAGACCCTTGGGATTAAAGTGCTGTACTCACCTATTTGACGATGACGCTGCTTTTCGATAACAACGAAGGTGGATTCCTCTCAGAGTCCCACCGTTCGATGCCAGCACCGTTTCTCACCAAGACGTACCAGCTGGTCGATGATCCAGCTACCAATGAGATCGTATCTTGGGGCGAAGACGACACGACATTTGTAGTATGGAGGCCACCCGAGTTCGCCCGGGATCTGCTTCCCAACTACTTCAAGCACAACAACTTTTCAAGTTTCGTGCGGCAGCTTAATACTTACGTGAGTATCTCTCGTCTCGTCTCTATGAACAACTACACGATCTTGGGCAACCATTCTCTCTGATCGTCGACTATCTTAGGGTCTCTATGTTTTGTCTGCTGCGGAGCTGAGCGATTGCAGACGCCCTCGTTGCTCGTTCATAATCGACTTGTGTGGCAATTTTTTTGCCTCGGAGTCGTTACAGGCACTGTGCGCCTAATGTCTGTTCCCTGCCCAGATGGCGATGATAAGTCCACTGTAGAATGTCTAGAATTTCTCACTCTGTCGTAAGAATCAATCACATTGAGTATCAAACCAAGATAGATCCGATATTCGTCTCAAATGTCGTGATATGGAGACGTCAAGATAGAGTAATAGAAATCCACTACCTCATTCAGCAGGGTTCAAGAGATGTAGACGGTTGATGTCCTGTTCGAAGGAATGGAGGTTGACTTTCAATCAAGGACGAGACTTTGGGGTTGTCTGAGGGTGAACGTCGTTATCTTGAAAGATTTAGTGGTGCCAAGTTCGTACATATGTAAATTACGGCAGTCTAGTAAATTCGCAGGCCGCTGACATGCACGATTGGGCGTGTCCAACTGCAGGGTTTCCGAAAGATCGTTCCCGATCGATGGGAGTTCGCGAACGAGTATTTTCGCAAAGGAGAAAAACACCTGCTGTGCGAAATACATAGGAGAAAGACGTCGTCCCAAGCACCGCAAGGAAGCTCGCTGCAAGCAGCTAGATCGCTTTCTCCGTCATCGAATTCGGCTGACGAACAGGCGTGGTCGCCACTGTCGTCACCTCTTTCTTCCCCTCGGGCGGTGGCGAACCAGGCCACAGTTCTGTCCGTAGCCGAGGATAACGATAGGTTGAGGAGAGATAACTCCATGTTAATTTCAGAAATAGCACGATTGCACAGGTTGTATGAGGACATCCTCGTGTTTCTTCAAGACAAGATGCAGGTCCCTTCGTCAGATCTGAGCTGGTTGACTAAAAGGTTAAATTGCCATCCGGCCATGGAGCCGCAAATAATACAAGCAGTGCCTGCCTCGAGGCTGGGCGACTCAAAATCTCGGGCCGACATCATGTGGGAAGACAAAATGGTTCGGGAGCGGGAACAAGACTGTATTCCACCGTCGCAGGAAAGTACTTGCACCTTGCAGTTTGTGGCCTTGCAGACGCCCGGCCTATCGTCGTCCCTGCGAGACTGCACCACGCCAACGGCGTCAACCTTGTCCTTTCTGGACGCGAAACTTAGAGAAATGGCCTCGACATCAGGCCAGCCTCGTGTCGACGATTCCAGAAGTGGTCCGAAGCTTTTCGGTGTTCCTCTACACGGCAAGAGGAGGATGAATGCAGGCGGTTGGGATGATCTCGAGCTTGCCAGTAAGAGAGTGTGTTCGTTCAGCTTGGAAGAAATTGATCCTAATAGAAGCGTAGGTAAGGATATGAACCAAAGGCCTCTTCCAGCGAAGAGCGTCAAGACTGAGTTAGCTTTGGAATTAAGACCTTCAGCGGTCGAATCAGCCCCATGGCTAAAATTTAGTGCCACACGGGACGAGAGAGTATACATCTAGATACCGATCGTAAATGCTTAATACACGCCATTTTTTCCGAGTAGCAGCTTGTTCTTAGCGAAGATATTCACCGATCTGTTCTTAGAACTGACTGCGATGTAAAGAAAAGATCTTTCCAAGCAATATACTGACAATTGTAACGCTACCTCATGTGGCCTGTGGATGGATAGTCTCGTTCGCTTCTAGTCGATTCTGGTCTGGTTAAGGTCTTGAATAACGAAGTGATTCTGACTTGCTATGTTCTGACGCAGTCTGAATCCCGTTATCCCTCTTCGCTTTTTCTTCTCTTTAGAGTCAGCAAAACACTTGGCACTATCTAAATGCGAGTTTTTCAGACGTGCACCTTCCATGCACTGATCTTCGTGCTGTCGACTAACACAAGCGTAGGAGCCATGATTTTGACCCTGAACACTCCACGGGTAATTGCATGCATGGCCCCTTACTCCGCGCTGTTGGACGCTAAAGATTGTGCACGCAATCTCGGATTACTTGCCTTGGTGTCCAAGAAAAATGAGAAAACTTCCGTCGATGATCGAGACAGACCCGTTTAGTGAAGCGCAACCATAAGCAGGGCACAATTACTCGGGATCCTTGCGTATTCAGCGCCTCAAGTGTACCATAGATCGTCGAATGGTATGGAGTTCAGACGTTCAGAGGTGTGCTTCAGTTTGCAGTCACCTCTCAAAGTTGTCGCAAACCTGAAAATCAGCCTCAGCGATACAAGTTACCGCTGGCATCTCCCCGACTGCTGCGTTGAAACCTTGCAGTGTACTAGCGTAACCGAAGTAGTAAGTTCAGTGCCTTGCAAATCTGCAAGTCATTGGAAAATCTGGACAGAGAGTCCGATTCGTCCTACGCGCCACCCCCATCGCCCCTTCCCCGTCAGCCCTCTTGCCCATTGCAGCCTTTTGTATGCTCAGAAGCAAAGGTAGAAGCTGTACCGAGTCGTCTAACTGGATTCGGATTGCTTACGAAGGCACGAGGGAGGCAGGCAGGCAGGCAGGCAGGCAGAGCGCCAGCAGCAGGAGTGGTTGTATTCTCCATGTACTATGTTGTTTTACAGTGTGGCCATGGAGATCTCATGTAATAGATGGGAAAGAATGAAAGGAAAAGGAGGGGTAGATTTATTTATATGCGTGGTGAAGCTATGTTGTCCTGCTGCTGCAGCTGCATGGTATTGGACCGGAAGAGAGGACAAAAGTATTCTCCAGGAGTCGAGGTTTTTGTGCCCCAGAGACCAACTTTCTCACCTTCTCGAAGCCCATACGGCCTGCGGTCTGGCATGGCCTGGGGCTCACCACTCGGAGCTGGAGCACAGTGGGGAAAAATAGGTGGGTTTGGTTGCCATACATGGATTTGTTGCGGATCTTATTCTCGGCGTACTGTCTGAATAGGAAAAAAAAATTGCCAGAGAAGAATGTTTTAGGTTGGAGGGATACGTTCAAGTTTACTCTGTTGACGTTGCGCGAAAGAGAGAACCAGACAGACGGCACACACATGTCCTGTCTGTCCGGAGGAAACTGATGTGATGAACCGGCATCTCTCTTCGAAAGCAGCCGATGGAGGGGCCTCTCTCTGTGCCGCAAACACTGTAGCCCCAAGCAAGCTATAACCAGACGAGAGCTGCAGACGAGAGGAGATAAGACTACCGGGTATGGCATGTCAGCGTTGCCTCACCCTGTTCCGACTTCATCCAGCACCACCGAACCAAAAAGTGGCGATGTGGGCCTCTCCTCCTCTCCTCTCCTCTCTCTCTCTCTCGGCTCTGCTCTTCTACTGCTAATACTACTCTCCTAGAGTAGAGGCTCTACTCTACTCTAATCTAGACAGCTTCGGTCTCGCGAAGCTCACCGTATCGAATCCTACAGTAGGGAGGGCCAGCGAGAGTGGGGGAGGGGACCGGAGAAGGAATAGTAGAAGAAGAAGAAGAAGAATAATGTGCAGGGCTGGGCAGGACCAAATCTGATCTGGGAGGTCAAAACTACTACAAGACTACTACGACTGCTGCTGCAGCACCAGCACTACTACACACAAACAGTTTCTTCTGCTGTGCTGCTGCTGCAACCTTGGAGAATGGAGCAGCCTAAACGCACATGTGTTTTTCATGACATATGGCCAGGGGAAAAAACAATGATCTAGACTAGGGATTTAAACACCATGGAGCGCAAATCCGGTGTAAAGTGCACACCTTTCCATGTTCGCCGGCATCTAGAATGACCACAATCGGTATAAAGCGGAAGGAAAGGTCCAATGAACTCCAGCAAGCATCCATTAACTAAGTATTTTAGCCGCGACATGCATGATCTGCAGCTTCTTGTTGTGCACCCAAGGGGGCCAACTTGGGCGAGTGGGTGGAACCTCTCATCAAAAGTTACAGGTCAATGATCACAACGCCCCCCTGCCCTCCCTCTATCATACAATTCACTCATATAAATTTCAAGCCCCCATCACTACCCAAGACTCCATCCATCTCTCTCTTATCGATCAAATGGTTAGATTCGATGCAGTCATCGTGAACTTAATACTTTCTTTCTTTTCCTTTCCCTTCTTCCACCCCGTCCTCCCACTCTTCCGTGCTTGGTGCTGGTGCTGGTGCTGCTAGTGTGTTCTGCTGTGGTGCGCTTCTCTGTGAGAATATAAATGATGTCAATATTCGACGTGATGTGATGAAACCCTTCATCCATCCCATCCGGTCCAGTCAGCGGGTAAATGGTGCCTTGCAGTATAATTCTCTCCGAAGAATTTTCTTCGCATCTCCTCATGTAGTTGTTGAACTATAAAGGTGCATTCATTTTGTTTCGTCCCCAACCCCTCCGCAATCGTCCATTATTATCCTCTTCGCCTCGTACATCGACATCACTTCGCCTTTGAGCAGTGGGAATCAACGTTTGTCCCCATAGAGCACACTGAAGACCGAATGCTCGCAGGCCTTTCAGCTCCTCTAAAGTACTTGCCCCTCACTCCCCCAGACTCGCCGAGGGCTTGTCGTCCTGGCATGACCTCCTCACTCCATCACCTGCCAGCGTATAGATACATACGTAACCGTATGAAATACCCTTACGGCGTACCTACCCATACATAATTTCAATCATGTACAGGCGCTTTCATACGCGTAAAAGCACAACATTCTCTTGCACGTGGCTACTGTGCATTGGATCAGCTTCGAGGGCCTGTACCTCCCCGAGATTTCTCATCATTATTACCATGAGAGATGAAGAACTGCGTCGATAGGAGGATGCACATCCAAAGGTCTTTCTTTACAGAGATGCAATCCGCAGTATGAGATTGTCTGACTTCTTGAACCCTGACGTCCCGTGCTCGTTCGGTTGAACCTTGGGTATGAATAGACCGCCACCTTTCACCTTCCTTCACTTTCCTTCAGTTCACTTCTGTGACAACCATATCCTCGTCAGAAATATATGGCAATATCCATAGGAAGACCAACGGAGTAAGACGGGGCTAAGCCCCCAACGTCTGAAATCGCCTGACTTAATTCGTTATCTTGTGGCCAAGGCTCAAGTAGAACTCGTATTTTCTTTTCTCCGACCTTCCTGTCCAGCTCGATTTTTTCCCGTTCCATTCCATTCACCTTCTTGCCTTGGACCATCTCCCCTGCTTCTCATTATTCTTCTGTATGGCTTTATACATAGTGACGTCAGGACTAGTCAATTCGCTCAATATGATTTAGAGAATGATCTCAATGGTGAAACCTAATAGAGACGAAGTACAAAATAAGTGGAAGTTATCAACATTTTCTTTCTTCCATAGAAACATCATGTGTACATGGATATAAACCCCCATGAAATCTGCAGTTCTCATCGTTTTATATATATATATATATATCTATATCTATCTATCGTTGTATTAAAAAATGTTTACATATATAAAGAATCACATGTAATACATATATGAATGATACTATAAATCTTAAATGAACAGTTAATGTATGGAAAATTTCATGTTTAAAAGTGAATGTTTAAGGAGGCTGCTAGTTATTCCTCACTTAGGGTTAATTAGCCCTCAGTCTACTATATGCTGGTCATTCATTGGTGGCCCCGGGTTATAGGTTCCGTGGGGGTGAGCAACAACTTTGCGAATTTTACTTCTTTCACTTCTTCTTCAAAGATGTTTCCGTGGCAAGAGCCACATCAAACCAATGTCTGCCACCTTCGCGTTTGAATCTGTAGCTTGACGAGAAGTTGAATGTATGTGTAGTCTTGAAGCCGTTCTAGAAACTAAACTTCAGCATTTCGAATCACACTGAAGAGACCAATTTGTCGAGATGAACCTCGGAAGTACGATTCAATTGGAACTTGGGTGAGAGACCACAGATTCAACAGATATCCAACTTAATCTAGCATCATTCACCTGCTCATTCTGACAACCAAATTTTTCAACTATTAAACGGACTCTCCTAAAACCGCAGTCTCATACCAGAGGAGAAAATCATTACGGACCCAATATGCAGCAGACGGAGCATTGTGATCACAGCGCAGCTCGTGGCTGACTTGCCTTGGCCGATCGGGTGGCGCAGTGAGGCCACTTCTCCACCGATCCACCCCAATTGCAGATCATGCACGACTTGCGTGCTTCTGCGCATTGATTCAGTGGATCAATCATCCCTTGTCGTCACTTCCAGCGATAGATTCACGGGTGCCCTACGATTGTGACCTCCCTAAAACGCAGAGGTCGCTACCACTGAATGCACATGCTCACTACAGACGTCGTGATCATCAGCACTAGCATTTGCGGGAGCGTCAAAATTCCAGAGCTGACGACCGAATTCAGGGTCTTCGAGCACCTTGTGAAATTTTCTCTCTTGGAAGAACATTCGGAGCCCCATGAAAAACAACCATTTCAAGAGCCTAGAAGCACACTCAGAGCCTAATGAAAAACAACCATTTCAAGAGCATGTCGAGGTCAAACAGATCAGTCGAACCATTTTAAATGAAGTACCATTACATTTCAAGCGTGCTTTCGTGACAAGCTCCTTTCCAACCAAGCACAGCACAGCCTTTCTTCGGAGAGAGTGCAAGAACAACAAACTCCACCCACCCTAACATTCACATCGGACCTTAAACGCAGAGGTGGCAGGCATGGGTATGACGTGGCTTTTGCCACAAAGTCATCTTTGACGAAGAGTAAAAAGAAGTAAAATTTGCTAAGTTATTAGTCACACCAAGGAAGCTATAACACCACGCCAATAATGAGTGACCGGCATATAGTAGGGTGAGGGCTAATTAGCCCTAAACGAGGGATAACTAGCCGTCCCCATATTTAAAATATCATATAATAATATCATTTAAAATTAAATATTCAAAAATTCATAATAGAGACTTTTTTCAATTCATTTAATTAACATTGATATGAATAATCATGAAAACTATAGGTTGGAGTGAAATAAGTAAATGTTAAAGTTTCTTTGTGATGAAAATATGACAAAATACCTATTCCAAGAAAGTACATTGTTAAATCAACATGATAATATCACAATTATGTAATGGATATTAATGATGACTTTCATGAGTACTCGAAACCAAAATATATCTCTAAACATATATTTTTTTGAACAATATTTTTTGACTATTCAAAAAAAGCATTTAATGTTATCATTGAAAGCAAACACAATTACAAAAAATAGATTGTTGTTTCATTCATTTGCAACATTCAATATCAATGGAAAATTATCGAGATTCTTGAGCTATCCAAATTGATTAACACAACATATAAAACAATTAGGTAAAATTTTTTATAATGTTAACTTCTTCTTTCTTCTCATGTGATATTTTCTTAATTTGTTAAGAACATAAATCATGATAAAATGTTAATCTTGTTGAAAAATATTTTCTTCCTACTGAAGTTGTCAAAAAATTAAAATGAAACTATACTTTTATTCAACAAACCTTGAATATTCTTATTAGTTTAAAGAAAGAAGAACTGTTATATCATGTCAGGTTAAAAATGTATGAGTATAAGATTTAATGTATTGTTTAATATCAAGAAAATTATCTACTGTACCTGCAAGTAGTAAAAGGAGCAAATGGAACTGCATGTCTTTGATATAAAATGCCACACCATCTTTCAATTTAATCACCACAAAAAAATAAGAATAATATGCAACTGCAACTCGAATTGGCTTAGAAATTAATTTTCTATTTAAAAATAGTGAATAGTATTGATAGTGAAACCACTCGCATCAGTTCTTGAAAAAGTTCTATTTTGTAAATCCATAACTAATTTTTGTGAATTGTAGAATGTATATCGTATGCAAGACCATCAGAGAAAATATGATGTCAGAGGCGAAAGAAACCCACGCTACAAGTCTTGAGAGAGAACATTGATCGTTATCTCTTCTAGTTAAAGACTTCTCCTGTCCACCAGCAATTAAAACATCTCCAAAATAGTGGTGTATAATGTTCTCCTCTTTGCTTTGAGGTGCGGAGCAAGAGGAACTCATTCGTAATGCTGCTCACATCGGAAATTCTTGAGCAAAAGAAATGGAGTGGGATGTGCTGAGAACGCATGCAATTAGCCCTGGAACTTGTGAACGACCCATGCCAGTGCCAAATCTACCTCAAATGGAATAACATACGGTCCAAGAGCAAACATCTTCTCCCGTGCAGCAATCCAATCTGAAGTGGCACTTTAGAGTTTAGGGTTTAAGGAAATTCTACCGACTTTCCACCTTGATGGTTTTCGCAATAACTTGATCGAATTTTATTATCTTCTGAGTACAATATTCGGCCATGTAAGTTAAGAACTTTATACTAGACTGATAAGCTTCTCCACAATCAAGCTTCTCCATGTTTTCCTTTTACCATATTAGCTTCCGGATATGAACTTTTCCATTTAAACGAGCGATAATTATAACTGTTATAGTTGAAGGGAATAAGTGCTGTTATGGCCTAGCAATTTCATGAGTGTGTTTTATGCTATCGCACTATTTGGATGCTTTACAAGGTATGACTATCTAAGTCCTTTTGAACTGGTCATATTCAAGGCTTCTACTGTTTTAACCTATCTTTTTCTTCGTATTTGTCTTCCGTCTTGTCTTAGTTCAGTTGAAGAGTTGTTTCTCAGTCATGTCACATTCTTATGTTTTCATTGTGTTGGCTTCATTAGTGAATGTATCAGCCTCATCGTTGTGATCTTTCGGACACTTGCAGCATGAATTCGTAACCACGTAACGGACGAGCTTCTCGTTCCGGGACATATTAGGTTGGTTTCTGTATCTTTTACTTGGTTTTGGTATGTAACGTTGGAACGTTAAAACGTTGTAGTGATCTTGCTTGACGACCTTACCGTCAGCCAGGTCTTCAAGCTCTAGACGGAAGCACTTTGTGCTCAAGTTATAGCCAGTTTATATTTGAGGGAAAAAATGGTAAGCTATATATTACAAGAGTGGCGTGTATGTATTTGGGTCTGTGAGGGAACTCATTAAAGCCTTTGGACCCGAGACCGAGTCATTCGTAGTCCTGTATAACTGAATATTCTCAAATGTTATGGATGTTCGAGCTACTTAGGCATTCGGAAGTGCTTAGTTTAAATCTACAGATAAGTCTGCATGTTGATTGTCCGCGCCATCATATGTCAGGCCGATATGGTTTCCTTTATTCTGGTGTTGAACAGTGGAGGCCTAGCTTTTAAAGTTATTGCAAAAATCATTAAGGTAGAAATTTGGTCGAGTTTCCTCAAACCATACACTCTACACAGCCACTTCAGATTGTATTGCTGCACCGGAGCAGATGTTTGCGCTTGGACCGTACTTTACTCCATAGGAGGTAGGTTTGGCATTGACATGGGTGGTTCACAATTTCCAGGGCTGATTGCATGCGTTCTCAGCCCATCCCACTCAATTTCTTTCGGCCATAAATTTCCGATGTCGTCAGCATTACGAATGAGTTCCTCTTGCTCCGCACCTTATAGCAAAGAGGAGAACATTATACACCACTCTTTTGGAGATGGTTCAATTGCTGGTGGACAGGAGAAATCTTTAACTAGAAGAGATAACGATCAATGTTCTCTCTCGAGACTTATAGCGTGGGTTTCTTTCACCTCTGACATTGTATTTACTATGATAGTCTTGCATACGATATACATTTTACAATTCTCAACAATGAGTTATGGATTTGACAAATAAAACTTTTCTCAAGAACTGATGCCAGTGTTTCATCAATATTATTCTCTATTTTAAATCGAAAAGGAAATTCTAATCCAATTCGAGTTGCAGTAGCATGCTATTCTTATTTCAATTGTCATGATTCAATATCTGCAAGGCTTTAGACAGTGATACCTTGTAAAGCATCCACTTAGTGCGATAGAATGAAAAGACACTCATGAAACTGGTAGGCCATAATACCAATTATTCCCTTGAACTAAAACAGTCATGATTATCGCTCGTGTAAATGGACGAGTGTATATCCGGAGACTAATATGATCAAAGGCATACATGGAGAAGCTTGACAATCTAGTATAAAGTACTTAACTAACATGGCCAAATACTCAGAAAGTTACAAAAAATCATCTCATCCTGAGTACAGAACTTCATCAAGAAAAATGTGCGTACATTCATAGCAATGTCATTTGAATCCATAACGGTACAAAGCTGCCTGCATTGCCCCAGACAAGCAGCCGGCTGAATCTTATTGGAAGGTGTTTACAAAAAGTAAGTGCGTCTTAGCGTCGACCCTCAAAGACGTAGATTCCAAAGCTAGTCGGCTTAAGTCTCCTGAAAAACCTTCATATCTTCGGAATCACGCGGTCACCGAGGCAGAGCCTTCTAATGTGAAGGTAGTGCTATTGATTAAACAGCTGTCACCTTTCTCCAGATGGTACTGGCCAACCCACAGCGTATTTTTTCTTCCGCAAATGCCTCTGTCCTGTAGACACAAATTAAGAAATCAACAGAGTGAAAAAACTGTTCAAGACTCATACGCATCCTTCTGTGAGAGACTATGTCATATAAGCCCAAGAACAAAGGGAACTGTTTATAACTCGCTGAAAAGGGACCCACAATGACGTTCCTCATCCTCACCACGAATGCAGGTCAGAACTGCAGGGTGCAGCAGGTGTCAATGTGCTGAAAGACTTTGCCGAAGTCCAGTCTTCAAGCTAGAAAAAATGTTTAGTCTTTCAGATTTGCAGCTCTAGGTCTTCATCGATCCCATCCAGACGGCCGACGTCTTGCTCTTGACTTGTCCCTGGAAACATTGTAATGACTTGTTTCGTCAAGCAAGATGCGATTTGCTTGTTTATATTTTCCCGAAATCTGCTCTTTTTGATCTTTCTAAACTCAACATACTGCTAATATATGTTAAAATGGGGAGAATCACATGTATGTGCCAGATTTTCAAAATAAAGTTAGAAACAAGGCTACAATTAAAAAATTGCTCGTTTCAAGAGAGTTGTAGCCAAATCATGAACGTTACCAGGTAGACATAGAACAAAACTCATGTTTGCCATCAACTTATGACTATCGCAGATCAGGAGCTGCATGCCCTCGACGAGACGGGGGAGTTTGTAACGACAGACTATAAAGGGCATGAAAACCCCTTCACCAAGGCAGCTTTATGCTACCTATAGTTGGCTTGAACCCTCTCTTCAGTTTGAAGATTGCTGATTTGATTAACACTCCACTTGGTGTATTGATATTGGTCTAGTTGAAAATATGACTTGACCTAGGGTGCATGTTTTAAACCTAGAACAAACACTACATCCATGAAGTATTTGATTCATTGTATAAACTCAAGGAGAGATTAGCCGTTATATCCGACTCCTATAGCGCAGAAGAATTCAACTGGGAGAGGAGGTCACCACTACTGGAGTACCTCAATATACAAATACTTTAATACAATCGGCAAAAACATTTAGTGCTGCGGTTGTTGGACAAAACGAACCTGTTCATATATCTACAAAACCTCCTCCGGAATTCTACATCTACAATAAATGGAATAACACAAAGCGATAAAAATGTAGTTCAAGTTCAACACACCTTGTCTCTGTGCTGTCCCTGCTCCTTCCAGGATCTCCCTCAGAGTCTTTATCATGAGAATTCCTTCCCCTCCTTTCGTCCCTGTCACCCCCACCCCGATCACGATCCCATCTGGAGCGCTCCCGGTCTCTCCCACTCTCGTAATCTCGATCTCTTTCTCTGTCACCCGAACTACTTTGACCGGGTTGAGCAGAAGCCGATACGCCTGCATCATTTCTACCATCTCTTTCAAAGACCATACTGCTAGCGTGCAAACCATGGGTGCTCCTTGCGGCGGCCCCTCCACTCGAACCCGCGGCTACAAAACCCCCGACAGCAGCACTTGCTTTCACACCCCCCCACGAGTTACTCGCATTCGAGCGAAGTTCTGTACCACCTGCAGTTTGTGGCCGTCCTCCATCCTGACTTCCTCTTCCATCAGTGTTTAAACTACCAGGAATAGCAACAAAACCACTGCTTAGAGCACCGGCTGAAACAAATCCAGAACCTTTTCCAGCACTACCGACAGCACCAACATACCCCTGCCCTTGCGAAGATGGAACTGGGACTGAGGCAGGAGCACCTGCTGTTGAGAAAGAATTTGAACTTGATCCTGAACCAGGTCCTGCTCCTGGCGTTGCTGCGACAAAGCTGTTCTTAAATCTAGCCATCATACCCACCTTGAGAGCATCCACAGCCGCCCCACGAGTAGGTACTTCACTACTTCCTGAGGTTCTGGAATACGTGGAAGGCTGGCTTGGTTTGGGTTTAATGGAAGGAGCGCTTGTTCTGCCGGCGGCATCTGGGAAATACCCTATTCCCATACCAAAATCCACACCTCGCACACTTCGCCCACCACCGCCACCACTAGCCCCTGCGCCGCCACTTCTGCCTCCATGACCTCTTCCTCGTCCTTTTCCTTTACCTGCATGGCCAGCATCCCTTTATAGTGAAAAAGCCAACCTCAAGGCAAATTTGAAAGGCCACTTTGAGACGCAACTTATTAAAAAAATCAAGTTGCACAGGGCAGCTGTGTATTGACTAGATGGACTCAATGGTCTTATGGCAAGCAACAACTACAATGATCGGACCTCCCAGCTCCAATTTTAAATTAAAGTGACAGTAAGTCCACCACCAAATATGCGTTACGATAACATCGAGATGAGCAGTGAGTCTACGTGGGTGTACGTGAGGTAACTCGATGCCTCGGCCTATAGTGAGCAGGATCCGTAGCAACTATCCAGCATTTATTCAAAAGTGAGAAGAGAGATAAACATACATCGCCTGTTTGACAAACCCTCTGAATTTTTCGCTTAGTCTAGGCTGCTACTCAATCAATTTTTTTGTCTTAATTCTGCTGATGTCAAATTAGACCTCTCAAACCGAGGCCCACAAGATTCAGACATAGATTTCATGACAACTGCTTTTAGTACTGAAGCAATTCGTTCTAAGTAATTCCACATTGACCTTTATCATCTCAAAGACTAAAGGACTTATGACTTGTTTTGTGTTTCCCCGTACAAGATCTCCTCTTCAATATCCAAGGTATATCGTCGAGAGAACAATTCAGCGTATTCCTTTGGCCAGTATCGCCACAAACACTCGATATACTTGCTACATGACCTTCTGGAAAATATTCATGTCTATAGGCCCGTTTCATGTCTGAAGGTATTTGTGCACTTTCAGACCATCAGTATACAGTGCTCCGGTCAGGTATTATGATCTGATGTTTCGCGAAATTCAACTGGCATTTGTCGACAGTTATCTTGAAGAGCAAACTCAGGGTTGATCTCTAATAAAAGATAGTACATGATCAACCTCGGGGCGTAACATGCGAGAGACCGAAGCAACTCAAATCTAGGTGATAGGTCTCAAGGGTGCAAACGAAATATACTAGATGAAAAAGGAACTTAAAGGCGGAAACAAAAAATCCGAGACCTGTGACGCAGTAAGTGAATGAAACACAAATGAATGTGCACTTAAGGCAAAGAGTAGGAGAATGGTGGAACATGGAAGGCAGCGCAAGGAGAACAGCTGCCGGACTGGCAGTGCTGAAATAATTAAGTGTGCAGCTTGGACTGACAATTCTCCAGTGACCATCAACAATGTTTGAACGGGAAGCGACAATTCCACGTCACGTAGACTCGGCTGCTTTGTTCGTGGAAACCAAGGAGATAGTTTTCCGCACAGGACCGAGCCGGGGCTGAGGATAACTCGAGGCCCAAAAGACCAAGGTGAAAGCGATGGCCGTTGGCCGAACCCATGTCAGATATTGCCGAGCACTATGACATATGAACAAGAACAGAATAGCAAATGGAAAACAAAATCCCAGAGAAATGAAAAGAGTTTAGTCGACCGGAAACAACCATGAGTGAGAAACAACTTAAACTTGAGAAGGATTGCGCTTGAAGGTGAGTGGCAGCAACAGCATTCAGATGTAACCAAAAAGCAGTGTAATCAGCACGAAAATCGATGAATCCTTGTAACTCAACTACAGAAAACGTCGTGAGAAGAAAGTAGAAGGTCGAACTAAGCTACTACGAAACTAGAGTGGACCTCCACAGACTTGATTACAAGGTAAAGGTGTAGATGACGTATTTCGGTAAAGTTCCTCAAACCAATATATTATCCAACGAACGTCATGTGAAAGAAATTTGAAAGCAAAAAACCTAAGGATCCAGCGAGTCGAGACCAACAAAAAATGGTTGGGAGCTTACCACCACCACCACCACCTCCTCTTCTGCCTTCGCGTTGGGTTCTAAAGCGTCCATCCTGTCAATTGTGTTGAACAAAATAAACATGACTGAAAGGTCACATGGCTACCACAAATGCCTACCATAAATTATGAAAGTTTTTTCTACACTCTGAAAAAAATGCACAAACATACCTTCATAGCAAGATCCATCAGCTCCATCGGGACATTTTGTCCCGCAGCGATGAGGGAGGTCAAGAGCTCTCCAGCAAAACGTGCCTCCTTACTGGTTATAAGCGTATGGGCAACACCGTCCTTATCACCTGCCCTTCCTGTCCTTCCAATGCGATGTACATGACTATCCATATCCTTCGCAATATCGTAGTTGACCACTGTCTTGATAGATTTGATGTCCAGACCCCTGGCAGCGACATCTGTTGCAACTAGTACATGGAAAATGCCTGACTTGAACTTTTTCAAGACCTCCATTCGAGTTGCCTGATCCTTGTCTCCATGCAGGGCACCAACCTTAAAGCCTTTCTGCCCGAGCTTACTTTCAACCTCTTCCACTCGTATTTTGGTTGACGCAAAGATTAAGGTATCCCCATCATCTACCATTCCTGGGAGCTTGTTGAGCAACCAAGGCAACTTATCCGCATCGGAAGTCAGAACAGCCACAAGCTGAGAGATGTCCTCGTTGGCCCTTCCAACCTCACCCACAGTCACCCTTATAGGATCTGAAAGGACTTCTCGGGCTAGCCGTTCAACTCTTCTAGGCATAGTAGCAGAAAAAAGTAGAGTTTGGCGGTCTGGCCGCAACTGTCCCACTATTGATCTTATTTGAGGTTCAAAACCTAGATCAAACATCCTGTCAGCCTCATCTAGAACGAGATACGTGCCTCTGAACATGGTCACAGCTTTCATCTTGATCATATCAATAAGTCGTCCTGGAGTGGCCACCACAATTTCACACCCTGCCTTCAGCTCCTTAAACTGTTCGAACTTGGACATGCCGCCATAAACTCCCGAAACACGAATGCTGTAAGCTTTCGCGAACTTCTTCGTCTCGGAGTAGATTTGCTGAGCAAGTTCTCGGGTCGGTGAGCAGATGATTCCTATTGGTCCTTCACCTTTCGCAAGCTCAGCCTGATCCATGATATGTACAATCATGGGTAAGACAAACGAAGCTGTTTTCCCCGATCCTGTTTTTGCTATTCCTATCATGTCCCTTCCCGACAAAGCGACCGGCAAAGCTTGACATTGTATTGGAGTAGGGTTCTCGTAACCTTGCTTGGCAATGGCCCCCATCAATGGACCATCAAATCCCAGATCCTCGAAAGTTTTCACAGGCCGTGGAACATCGAACCCAGATACCTTGATTGACAAAGACTGACGATAAGATGCCACATCATCTTCAGACATACCTGTACAAAGTTTCACTGTCAGGACTTGGGAACCTGACACAAGCTTAAATCGTACTCAAACCGTGAGCCAATTAACGAAAACAAAACGCGTCTGACGCCGATATTGTTCGACTGGAAGAGAATATAGCAACTTGCACATTTATATTACGACCCCGAAAACGAATAAATCTACAATCAACCTTACCCTTTCAGAAAAGAAGAAAGATGTACGATGAGATTCTTCTTGTCATGCAGACTAACACGTGGGTTCAGCTAGTTGCACCGAGAAAAATCACATAATACCAAGAGAACATTCATGCATCATACTCTCTAGTGTCTGCAAACTTTAGAAACCACGACTTCCATAGGAAAATAGAAACCGTCAAAATGAGGGTGCCGTAAAACTGTTTAAATATCTACTGAATTCAACAGCGAATTCCTGGACATCTGCAGGCTTTCTCTAAACGATGGGGCTCCTTGTAGCTTCGGCATGTAAACCACAATGACCAAAGTGTCAGGCAAATGCGTGACAGACCAATCCTTACCTGAAATTGCAGCACTTTCCTCGTAAAAAAATTTGGTAAATGGTTCATAGTCAATATCACTATGGTCCAGGTGAGCAAGAGGTTCAATTTTCCTCCGATCAAGAGTAACAACTGGATTGTCGTCAGAATCGTATTCCAGAGATCCATTATCCACAGCTTTCGCTGCCGCATAAACTTCTTCATCCGAATCATAGCCCGCGTGAAGAGCCTCTGCCGCAAGAGACAGACCGGCATCACGATGAGCTCTGAGGAAGCTTTCCATGGGATCATCTTCTTCATCCTCCAACTCATCCCGTTTAGGTCTAGGGTTTACAGGAGCCTTTTTCACCTCTTCATGGATTCCTTCCATGAAAGCATCGAGGGGATCGATCTCATCATCTCCATCATCTGCTTTAACTCCGCCTCCTCCATTCTTCTCCAGGCTCTCTTCCATGGCCCCATCCCTACCTGCACTAAAAACGTCGTAGCTCTCCTCCTCTCTCGCCTTTGAATTCCTGCTGGACAATCTACGCTCGCCCTCGTCCTCGTCGTACTGAATATTACCCAAATCGTCATCATCTTCACTATCTGCCGGACCTTTTCGAGGGGGAGATGGAAGATAAAGTCGCCTAGGAGCAGGTGTGGTCTCAAACTCAAAACTCGACTTCTTCGTAATTCCAAACCCCTCAAATCCAAATTTTCGCTTCGACATTCTTTCTCCCTTACGAAGCTTTCGGTCTATATCCTTTTGGACCTCCGGCAATTCCTCTGATCAAGCTTTCATCTCATCTTCTCCGGGCGGAAATCCACTGATCACACTGTAAACTTCTTCCGAACTTCGTCCCGCGTTCTATCTAACTTCAAGCCTTCTTGAAGGCCTGTCCTTTCTAGCGCCATCCATGAACCCTAGTGCTCCGGTTGCAGTCTTCACGTGTCTGAGAACCGCGGACTTCCTTCTTTCTTACTTCCCTCCATTGACATGCACGAGTGCCATACTACACAATCAAAAACTCAGACCCCTGAGAGCATTCCTCGTCTGTCGTCTCGAGCCTTTCTACTTATCTTCAGGCAGAAATAGAAGACACTGAAGAGAGAACGTGTACTGAATATTCCTGCATCGGGATATCCAAGTGACATGAGAGGGATGAACAAATTGCAAGAGCGTAGCATCAATTGCATCATATCGCACATATTTCGGGTAGTCCGATACCTCATGTATGTCAAACCGCTGGACGTGGCCTTCCTTTATGCAGGGAGTACTCCTGATGTATGGGTACTTCGTGATGCCCACTGCTCCATCATATTGGAATACGTCGGAGTTTCCGACGCATTTCCATATGGAAAATTCCATTTTATTCTAGTCCAATTTTTGATGCACAGGTATTGACCACTGTGGACTGTTATCAAGCGTTTGTGGCTCAAAACGTAACAAACAAATAGCTCCACTTTTATCAACCTTCATCACCCATACACACATCCAAAATCACCCGAGCAACGATCCAGGTAACCTTCTATCTCCATGTATCATGGCATCTCTGGCAACAATACTGATATGATTACACGATTGATATCTGATGACATTTTCAACATTTATATCTACCAAAAAAAACCATTTTGTCCTTGGATGATGATTTAAGGTTTTATGAGCATAATCTCCACGTTCGAAATGCCAACTTGAACTATCAAACCTGCAATTGTCGACTTAATATATAAACACATTTAAATAAATAAGAATCTTATATCTTGTCAATTTAACTCGTAAAAATGTTTCAATTTTCCTAACAAAAAACAGAGCGGAAATAAGTTTACAGTTTTTTGGCAGCCGTGTTAATTTAGTTATCTACGATGAAGTCTTTAGAAAAAAATGCAATTGTTGCTCCATTCTAAAAATTATGAAATGAAAAATAAATAAAATTCGGATTTATAAATCAAGAAATCATCTCATACGAAGACTATGTATGATTTGAATCAAATTAATTAGCAATTGGCGTAATGCTAATACTTAGATATGGCGCAGTCATATGCCAATGCAAATATATTTTCACAAGGTTTAGTAATACTAAAACTTGTGAAAAAATATTTGCAATACTTTGACAAATGCACAATTCTTAATTAAAGATAGTGCTTTTGTACTTTCAGCTGTAATTGCATTTTATAATCATTACATCATCATAAAGCATTTAGTCAAAAATATAATGCTAGAATTTTCTAAACTTGCTACAATGAAAAATTATGTAATCATGCAATATGTTTAAAAATGCAAATTAAAATTCAACGAATCTTTTCATTAATTCATTTATTATATTATGTCATGTCTGTTGCTTGACCTTTTACTTAATAATATATATCATAAAAATAATTTCATTTTATCATCAATTTATGTAATATCATGATTTTTTTTTAAAACAAAAATGGTTTTTATAATGCATAGAGGCCGTGAGCTTTTAAACAATAAATAAAGAACTATGCTACAAGTAAAATTTTCATCAAATAAATTATTATTATTTTAAAAATATAGTAAATCAATTTAAAAAAAACTATTATATCTTGCATATTTAAAAATTAAACACCAGAAATTATTCGAAGGATTTGTGTTAAAAAATCCTATTTTTTAAACATATAATAAATTATAAGCCAAAATCATGATATGTTAAATCATTCGTTTAAATTTTATTACAAATTAAAAACATCAGTCAAATTTTTTTGGGCTATACTAAGTAAATCATAAATTTGATATGTATTTTAAATTAATTCAAAATATTCTAAAAGATCTAAAGTTTTTCATTATACCATATATTGGTTTCAAATGAGTAAACAAGTCATTACATGATTGCTGCTACATCAAGTATGATATGACGTCTATAGTCTCAAAGTAATTTTCTGCGATAAATAAATTTTTATTTTCTTTCATTGCACTTTTTTAATTGCACACAAATTTTGTTGCAGGTTTCACATATTAAAAATCAAAAACTATTTCTTTATAAAGAGCGATTCAAATAAATCTAGAATATATATATATATATGTTGAAAATTGTGATAAACCAAAAAATGCATGTAAACATCTTCAAAATTTGTTCATAGAATTGTAAATCTATCATAAATTCTAATTTTAAATCATATATGAAAATATAGACTAAAATGAAAGCAAAAGTACACATGGATATGAAAAGTAAGATAAATTTTTTATCTACTTGATAAAAAAATAATATTACAAGGAGAACATGAACTAGTTCATAGCAATTTGCTCAAAGCTATTTTTTCTATATCAAAAGTAAATTTTTTTAACAAAAAAATTTCTATGAAAAAGATTTTTATTATTCAGTTAAATTTCAATATTAACTTGTTGAAACATAACTCAATTGATTTTCTAATTTTTTCTGAGAAGGATATGTCACGGTAAAACATGAAAATTACAAGAACGCCAATAAAACGTGATTTACCCTCGAGGTAAGTCCATCAGAACTTGAACACCTTTACTATAGGTTTGTCAGAAAGATTGACTTGTATACTACAAACTCTAAGATATTTATCCCTAGCCCATACGACCGTCCTAGCTATTAATAACTAGGATCCGAGGTTACTCCTTAACTAGAGTTAACCTCAACAATCTCCCCCTAAACTCACGTTAAGGAATAGTAATCTCTATAACATACATTATTACTCTACGGAAAGTTCTAGACATAAACCTAACATAAGGGACACTCTTTACACAAGATCTAACTAGAACTAAACCGTAGCCATGACATGGTAGAGTATTAACATAAAGAGTTAACTAAAAATCAGCTAGCATAGAGAGAACAAAAATCTTGTAACCTATATAATTACTTCGCGGGAAGTTCTAGAAAGAAACATAATACAAGGCTACTCTTTACACAAGAGTTAACTAGATTTAAGCTGTAGCCATCACAGGATAGAGTATATATATAAAGCGATAAGTGAAATCTAATATGTTAGCAAACTTAGCATGATAGCACAGTGTCGCCTGAAACTCTCTATAGAAATACATTTGTCTAACGCATCAGCTGGATTAAATTTACCGTCTATCTTGACTAGCTCAATCACCAAAGTTTACCATCAAGATTGACTAGCTCAATCACCAAAGTTTACCATCAAGATTGACTAGCTCAATCACCAGAGTTTACCGTCAAGATGGATTAGCTCAATTACCAGACTCTATCGTCAAGATGGACTAGCTCAATCATCTGAGTTTATCGTCAATCTTGACTAGCTCAATCATTTGAGCTTATCGTCAAGATTGACTAGCTCAATCACCAGAGTCTACCATACATCTTGACTAACTCAATCATTTTATCAGACACTTTTGTTTGATAAAATACCTGATATCGTTGTGTTTCACGGTATTGTCTTAACTTTTACCGTGCACATCTTGATCATTAATTACATAATGATCAAACTCTCCCACAACTACATACCGGTGCTCATCTCGATCATTAATCATATAATGATCAAAACTCCAACACAACTACTTACCGGTGCTCATCTTGATCATTAATCACATAATGATTAAAACTCTCCCACATATATAGTTACATACATGAATGAAAATGTTCACTTGTCAGTACAAAGATCCTGAGAACTCTCATACTCTTTTTAGGAACATGATTCATTGAAAAAAACACACTGACACTGACATTCACCTTACTTTATGTCGTTCGCGATTGATTGTTGCATGTGACTATCTTTCATCGTCACCCACGACTAACTTTACCCACGACAGATCACCACCGTCACACGCAACTGACTGCGTCCGCGACTTATCAAAAAGGTTGTCCACAACTTACCATCCGTCATCCGCGACAACCGTCGCCCGTGATCAATGTTACTCGTGACAACCGTCACCCGCAACTGTACAGTCCATCACCCGCAACTGCAATATCTGTCATTTGCGACTCTCGTCGCCCGTGACAACCGTCATCCGCAACTGTAATATCCATTACCCGCGACTTTAGTCGCCCGTGACGAGCGTCGTCCGCGACTACCTGTTGTTCACGACCTATGTCGTCCACAACTGAACATTGTTTCATGCGACCTTTGTCGCTCACCGTCGCACGCGACTGCAAAATCTATCATCCGTGACTCTCGTCGCCCGTGACAACCGTCACCCGCAATTGTATTGTGCGTCACTCGCGACTTCAGTCGCCCGTGACCACGGTCGTCAACGACCTATGTTGCTCGCAACAGCTGTTGTATGCAACCACGTTCAAAAGGAAAGACAATGACAGTTTCCGAGTCAATTTCCTCCTTCTTAGTCATCGTTTAGCTCGTGAAATATGTCAAGATGCACAATTTGTGTCAAGAACTTTCCAACGATACCCAATTTGCCTATACTCTGATGAGAAATATTTTCAACAAAATATTCCGTCACCGTCACCGTTGGTCAACCGTCACCGTCACTCGTTGATTGTATTGTATTGCCAATGACTTTCGACCTCAACCACGTTTGACTTTGACCACGTTGACTATCAACCACGTTCAACGTCAACCACTGTTAACCGACCATGGTATCCTTATCAACTACGTTGGCTTTAACTACCGTGGTTCATTAGCATGATCCTATGTAGAATTAGTGAGTAGTAGGATTAAAGCAAAAGTGACAGCAGCTTCGGAGGTAGCAAAAATAGTTGCGAGCTTCACCTTTGAGTGCGCGACCGTGACAGCTACCTTGCAGGAGCGGGACGAGCAATTTCATGTGAAGTAATTAGAGTGTTCATAACTTCGGAGTAAGCTAGCGGTTGAGTAGAACCTTCGTACGCAGAAGGAGCTAGAGTGCAAGGACCTTCAGGTTGACATCAGCACTAAGCAAAAGGTGACAGTGGATTTTCGGACAAATTAGAATTGTCTCGGAAGGAATTTTGAAAGAATTCAAGCGCTTGGAGGAGTTGACGGTAACTTTGGCGTCACGAGATCCATCGCATGCTACTGAATTGGCTCGTAGGAGAAAGGAATTAGTTGAATGCGAAGTTGCCCAAACTTTGGAGTTAGAGTGTGGGAAGGAATTGGACGCAGATTGCAGCAGATTGCGATCTCAACTATCGGCAGTTGAGTAGCATTTGATTGCGGCTGAAGCAAAATTGGTGGAGATAGAGACGGCTGTCCAACAGCTGGAACTGCTGAAGTATGCTGCATTGCATGCAAGTGTAGAACGATGTATTCGCTGTTATATACAATGGGAGAATCTGAGCACAAAGTGGATGAAATTGGATTTGCTAGAACGTCGAGTGAAGGAATTGGGAGCCAATGGAGCCGCATGACATCCGCAGTTAAGTAGACTGGTCAATTCATTCATTTCCAATTTAAAGTAGAGAAAGGAGGATCTAGAGTTAGAGCTTTCATCAGTTTGGAGTATGACAGTAGTAGTTATGAGCTATGCGGATATGGCAAATGCCGCATCTGCGGAAGGCTCGCAACTAGCGGGTGATGCCTCCGGGTGTTCATTATGAATAAAAAGGCCTAAGGCTCTGCCTTGTGGGGCTTTTCCATGAGACAATGTTTAGTCTTTTAGATTTAAAAAAGTCCAAAATCTTCAATTTTTCTAATTTTGCCAATATATGGATGTAGGATTTTACATTATTTGTGCAAATGGATTTTTTCCACTCATATAACTAGTATAGATAACAAAAAATACTATGTAGAAGCTACATTTTTTTAAAAAAAAAATTTAAATAATCCCATAAAAACAATGTCACAAGTTGTTGTGACGGTTTATAAATAGATTGAAAAATATGAGTTTCATGATAAAAAATATCTAATGTAGCTAGTATTTTATAATGAATGTAGTCTAGTCTGAATCGCTATACATTAAAGTTTAAACATTAATATATTTACTTTAATTTATTAAGTAAATATTTTTTGGGGTTTAAGCTACAAGAACAAGGTCTAAATATGTTTACTTCTTTAAGACAGCACAAAGATAGAAGAGGTGCCCAAAATTTGAAATACCTAAAACTATTCAAAGATTTTAATAATTGAATATATATATATTTTTGTTTCATATAGCTTAGGAAAAAATTGATCATTTTTTGTGCTCATGAGCTTTATATAAGAACTTCAAAACAATCTATTGCACAGATGTTGAACAGCTCATTCCAATTAAGACATTTAATATTTGATTCATAGCCATGTTTGTTATCATAGCTAGCAAACCATTGCTTTAATACCTCAAGAATATAGTTTCTAGGTTATTTTTATTAAATCTACAGCTATTTCAACATTTTCAATAATGTGAGTGAAAAAAATTATTCATGCATATTTTAAAATATATATAAAAGTTATAATAGTTTGTTTTAGGTTTAAAATTTAGGAAAAGAAAAATTAACAAAATGTTCAACAAAAATTTTTCCAAAACTTGATTGTTCTAGAACATAAAATTCATATTGGTGTTCTTCAATTCACATTTTAAATAGTGTATCATAAAATTCTGAACCATACAACAGAGGTTTTCATCTTAAACTTCACAAAATTCCAAACAAAAAAAAAATATAAGAATTTTATAAGAATTCATACATAAGAAATAGTTAAATCACAAATAAATATTTGTTGCATAATTATTTCCAAAAATATTCAATATTTTGATGGATTTGAGAATCATTTGCATTGAGCAATCCGCAACAAAGAGGCCACATCAAAAACTCATTGATCAATCTTGACACGGTGTTGTACCACGGATTATATTCTAGTATACTTTGGAGGAGTCATTTTCCTACACTTGGATCCCTTCACTTGCAAATTAGGCGTTGTTGTGGTGATGTGTTAATTTGGATCAAATAACCGTTAATGTGGATCAAATTAAAAACACAGTGTAGTGTGCTTTGTATTTCTAAGTAAAAAAATACAACAAATTTCTCACACAAAAAAGTGATTAGTAAAACTTCAAAATCACAAATATGGCATTTTAGTCAATTTTATTTAAGTTAGAGGTGAGATTTTCAAAGAAAAAATAATAGTATCATACATATCAAAAGCTCAAAGTCCAACATCTTTAGCAAATGAATTGCAATCTCCATGATCATATGAAACTACCTACATCGACTTTTAACTTTTGCTTTTCTTACAAGAATCATCAATTACATGATCAATGCGAATTGTAAAGTAGACATTTTTGAACTCGATTAACATAACAAACTTGTCGTTCTTTCTAAAATTATTTTTCAACCGACTTTGCACACTGAAAAATAAATCATTCCAAACAAACCTTGGTGTAAAATAATAGAATCTATTTACATTCACGTTCTATATAAAAGAAAGCCAAACTCAAGCGTAGAATTGTGCATAGTCTATCAAGACCAACGGCGTAACACTTTGGAGATCTATACCAACTGTTCTTAATATTTTATATTGTAGACAAGAAACATTCACACGAACACACATGCAATAATAAAATACATGATTCACTACTACAGCACACAAAAATTTCAGGTTTGATTGGAAAAATACCTCAAAAGTGCTTTTGAGAGCTTTCGTGAACTATTATATTTAGTGACAGGTTAACAAGCTTATCTAATTAAGGTTAATCAAACATGATTTAAATTGGATATGAGTTAATGTATAACATTTAAAATATAACTGAAATTCATTAATTTTTTATAAAATAAAATAAAATAAATTTAATACATACATACATTTAAATTTCATATATTTAAATTCACTTATTTTTTACTTTTCCATGAAATAAATTAGATTTAAGTCAAATTTATTTATTTCTTTTTATATATATTTTATAGAAAGCATCATTTTTACGACAAATTTTTGATAAGAAAATCAGAAATTTAAAATATAAAACATACTTGCATGAAGAGAGTGATATCTTGACTTAGTTGTCTTCTTTGGCACTTCCTGAGCCTAATTTAAATTTCTAGGATCGAAATTTAAGTCAAGGCTAACCGAGTCCAAATCTACTTTCCGGATGAGGATAAACCATCAAATGTAATTTGCATTATTGAAAGAATATTACAGTATAAATGTCTTACTTTTGAACGTTTTGTATATAATTCTTCAATTAATCAACTGATGAACCGGTTGAGTTGTCTATTTCAACATGTGAATTATATCTGTTTGTTTCTTATAAGTTTTTTTGGTATTATTTTGCAGAATTTTCCGATCCATTTCACCGTGTTTAGAATATACACTTGTTGTGTTTGTTGAACAAATGTGTTTGGAATCTTTTGACTTTCTTATTGTAAAGACAAAGCAGTTATTTTGAAATTTGATCATGGGATTCGATCTTTCCTTCTTTAGAATATATGAGCAACTTAAGTTGACACCTGACACCTTATGATTAAATTAGATGAAAAGTCGAAGCCGTATGTGAAGGGGAATTTTGATGACCGATCGAAATGTTTTCGTCCACATTGTGATTTTGTAATTACGACAAGTCGTATTCTAAAGGCTTGTTGAGAACTTGTTTGTTGCCACTTTTGAAAAATTTCCGAGGAGTGTGTACTTTAAGTTTGTGAATCTTCGTTGGACTGAACTACATGTGCAGAATTATTTTACACATCCTGATCTCGGAGGACCTTGCCGCATCATTTGGGTTTGCTTTTTTCCTTTTTATCCATGTACTTTTCCATGTAGTTTTGTTTTCCATGTCGTTGTATTCGTCTCATGAATATTTTGGTAATTTTACATGAGAATAAAAGTGCAGGGCGTCCATCTGGCACATGTAGATTAGGGAGTTCTTTAATCCTATGAACTGAACTATTCTACATTCGTTCTGGTCCCACGAGGATATTTGGCAACAGAATTAAATTCGGAATTTACCACTCTGGATTTCAGTTGATAAGTGCGGCGTTCCTCGAACTTGATTGAAGGGACGAGTGTTGACTTCTCTCGGAAATGTAAAAGCTCTTTCAAGAGTGCCCACGCCGAAGAACTCAATTCTATTTTAAACAGAATAAATTCGGCAACTAGGTACTTGTCTTCTGTCATGTACATTAGCAATGTCGTTACATGTTCTGGTATCATACTCCAAGGGTGCAAATTTCCAACCTAGACTTTCACTCTGTAGAGACAGTGGGTCGCACTCAACGTGGGCTGAAGAGACTTCCATGATAAGGGAGCGGGCTTAAGACGTGGTGCCGGCCCTGATTGTCAATGCAACATCTGCTGCTTGTAGATTAGACTATCAACAAGCACCATCATTCGAGGATGTGGACCAAGAGTCCATTCTTATCATCCGGAAGAACACCCTAGTTCAAAGTTGACACCCTCCGCTATTTATAACGTCGGAAAAAGCGAATGATGACGGGCTGGTGAAGCCCGAGCCTACCAAGAAGTTGAAAGGTAGCTTCTCGTCCCCGCCTTTCATTCTCCCCGTGCTTGACAGGACCTTGAGGTTCAGGACTGAATTCCACAACAACAGCGGTTCAGAAGGAAATTCCATCCCGAACCTAGGACGAGCACGACGACGGTGGTGTTGTTGGTAGGACGTAGGGCGGGCTTCTTTCCATCCCTCGTCGATGGACCGGAGGCGAGGCGGGCCGCGGGCAGTCTGAAAGGGGCAGCGGCGTACGACTTTTTGGAAGAAGAAAAGTTCGTACCGGCGTTCCTCTAAATTCCTACAACTGTACACTGTAGTCGCCTTTCTTTATATCTATTACGTTTCCAGGAATAAGAAACAGGCGTACATCGGGCAGTCGAAGCTACATTGTCCGGCGTCCACTCCCTCGTGAAACGTGAATTCTACGCTGGGTTTAGCAGGACAATATAGGACTTTGGATGCGTCCACTAATATATACATAAATACAATACCCATATACGGTAGCCTCTCTTTGCGGCTCGTTACGTTTCGATGACCGTAGATGGCCCTCACGTATTCCAAAGATGATACTTCAGACAAACCAGGTGTTGGGAAGGGCCTCTCCACGTGTGCCGGCCGGATTGGCCCATTGCGGTGCACACCCTATAGAGATCTGCTCGGGCTGTAGTCAAGTACAGCGGGCAGAAAAGGACAGTAGACGACAAAATACAGATTATGGTTGCTGCGAACGGCTACGATATCGGCCCGGTTGCTTTATGCGTCGTAGCGTCGCCCGCGCCCCCCCACCCCCCCTCTCGAGAGGCTTTGACTGCGGAAGCGGAGAAAACTGCCCAGATAACGTCGTGGGTCTATCGATAAGAAGAGAGAATCTACGGGGATTAACGAGTCTTGGCGCCGGGGGCCTGGATCGAAGCATTCAAATTTTGCCTGACGAGGAAAGTCCGTAAACAATGCACAGGTTCTGGGATTCACGTGGGCGATACTATCCTAAACATTGGCCGTCGGTCTTTTTGCCCTTGAAATTGCAGGTGAATGGGAGAGTGACACGTAGAATGCAACATCTTGCACATCGCAATATCTGGAATTTCAAAAGCGGAATATCTGAGTCGAGCATAAAATCTCATAATATCACGGAACATGACGACCATGAGTACAGCAAATGAGAGCATCTCGGCATTCAGAACTTGCATCACCTACTTCTTTCTCCTGACACGCTGGTTTACGGTAATCGGACGTCATTTGCGGACTCCTCATCTGCCGTGAAAACTTGACATGATAAGACTGGACAGGAAGTACCGTTTGGATTGAGCACTTGCGCTTGACTATCCGGTCGACTGCCGAAGGCCCCCAATAAAGTGCACTGCAGTGCAGAGCCGAGCGGTTCGGAGGGCCTATCTTGTGGGGGATAATATAACTCGATCCGTAGATGCATGGATTGTTCTGTTCGATGCCCTCTTCTTCCCGCGTCAATTCGGGAAGCCGTAATACTGTAAGCCGTAATGGTGTGGATCTTGAGTGGTTTAATTCATGTCCGATTCCCCGGTTGCGATACGTAGACAATTATCTAATGAAACAATTAAGAATCGGACGTTTGGTGAAGGAAAGATTCCCCGCCGATCTCACGCACTGGAAACCTCATACAGGCAGGCAAGGGCGTCGGGCGAGCATACGGTTGTCGGAATCACGTAGCTCGTCCATCATGTGTTGCGATGCCATGGTGATGCCATATCCATCCGGTCGTCGATGAGGAGATGGATGGGAAAGGCTCTCTCTCGGTTGCAGCAAACTTGTCGATGCCTATATTTGGGCGGTGCATGTTGTCCATATCCATAAGAAGTCCGTCATGCTACTGGGATAGGTCTGCACATTGTTGTTAGATGTATTGAGTGGGACCAATCAGAGTACGTTTGTCGCGTGAAATATAGAGGGTATCCTGAGTAAAATATGATTTAGAGCGAGGGAGCGAAAGAAATATCTGCAGATACTGTTCAATTCCCATATTCATTGTCCTCGCTGCCTCGCCCGAGCGAGTGATTGTGTACACAAAACTCAATTTTATAAGTTTTTCAATCCCTCCCGTTCTGTCCTGACCTGCTTATTGAGTGCCATGGGGACGATGCAGTGACACCGAGTTTTACTGAATTCCAGGTGCAAAAGCCGTAACGTTGAACTTGTTTTGACTTTTACCGGCAGGCTCGGGCCCAGAGGACTGGGACCGTCCGATCTCGATCCAATAGGTTACGGACAATCGTCGAAGTATGTGAATGTCCGAAAGCATTGCATTTATCTCTCTGCAGTCTGAACTCTAACTTTTGCTGCAGGAGGACCGCCCAATGGAAAAGAAGGTGGGCCTGCAAATCTTGTAAGCAGCAGCAACTGCTGGAACTGTATCATGATCCGCCCTGAAGACACGGTTGGCGGGCTCGGACAAGAAGCTCTATACTTGTCACTCGTACCGTATGCAGACGGTTTGAAGGGAAGAGTAGGAAATGCGCTGCAAAGCTTGACCCTGAGCCCGGTGTGCATTAATCAGAAGTCAGGTGCATGCGTTGGAGCTTCTGATTCTTACCTTGCTCAAACCTCGTCAAGAATTGCTCACACAAGTCAAGGAACGTTTAGCATACGTTGGTGCAGTGCATCCATTAAGGCTCTTGGTCTTACGGGGAAGTCGTGGGCCTTTAAGCAGGGGTAAAAGTTGCAGATGCAGTTTCAAGGAGACCCAAGGAGACAATCATGGTGGACAAGTGCTAGAAGTCGTAGTAGTATGCAGCTTTGGAGAATTCACTTGCGTACATGAGTACACTGATGAGAGTCACAATCGAGTGGCCAATGATTTTCTTCCAAGTTTTTATCGTCGGGATTGGCTCTCGGTGGGTTTGGTCAATTCGAGTCAGGTTACTTCCTATATGTGCACACATAGCATATGACTGTGGATGAGTTCTAGAGATGTAAGGGAATCACAATAATGTAAGGTGTTGCCTTTCCATGCGGAGATGTGGCAGAGTGACAAGATGAAGCTAGGCAATGATGGTGATAAAGTGGATGCAATTGTGGAGGTTTCGAGAGTAATTCGATTGCAACTTTGAAGGAACTCACGAACCAGGAAATCCCCACAGAAACCATTTGATTACTGGAGCAGCTTTCGACAAATGGCTCTCCCAATCTCGATTGTCTAATTTTGGAGTCGATACATGGATGGCCACGATGGGGTTGGGATCTTCGTTGCCATCTGCGATAAAAATAGGAATTTGGAATCGTGATCAATAAGGTGTCGACGTCGAGCATATTTCTGCAAGATAAAGCCCACGTGTATGCCGCCCATTGCCTACGTCTAGTCAAAGGCCAACTGCAAATTCTTGGGAAGCATAAGGAGAATATATGAAGTATTTACGAAGTCCATAGACGTTGAATATAGACCCCAGACCCATGAGCAGTCCTGGATATCGACTTGCTTTGCTTCTCGTCCGTCTGGTCCGACTATCTCCCCGCAAAACACATGACAACTTGAATTCGCTGACGAGGCCCTCTGACTCTTTACCGCGCAGTGGTCATGTACCTTTTTATCATCATAGTAGTGACGTACACTTGCGTTAATGTCCAATGCGCTCTTCCTTGGAGATAAATTTCCAAGCCTGCCGTCTCGAAATCCCAATTTATTATCCAACTTCTTCTCCTCAGCTCGAATAGCGAGCTTGGCTAGGCCACAGGGGCACGTGTCAACTATATGATAAGAGTAAAAAACTTGAATATATACTGTAAGTATGCTTTTCAAAACCTGCATTAGTATTTATGATTCAATATTTCCATGCCTTCCCTTTGCCCCGTTCACGATTGAAATCTACATAGAGAGCGTGTGCATCATATCCCCCTCCTAACCTCAATCGCAAATCTGGGACATCTGAATAAATATCGTTTTTGGAAGGGAATCATTCGGGCTAATCTTTTTCGTATTAGAGGACAAATGAAGGTAAGTTGAGGACAATCTGTACACTGAATTGAATTGTTTAAGCTGCGGTGATGTGATAGCCAATCTCACATATAGTCACCACAAACATCGAGCTAGTAAAGGAGCTTTCATAAACATGCATTGGGCCTTTTTTAAGTATGGTATCAAGATGTGAACCAAGTAATGTAGCAAAAGGGATGGGAAGACCCCATCATGTCATGTCGTACATGGATGAAACCAACGGGGTAAGATGGGGCTAGGCCCCAAATAGATTTGATATCTAGCGGTCAACTTCTTCGAAACTACAAATACACCATAGCAGGTTTTTTCTTCTTTCCTTTTCACTTTGATTTGTTTGATAATGAGGAGCCCAGAGCCGAAACTGTGCAAATTTTCTATCCTTCACAAGCGATCCGAGAAAGAAATAGCGAAATAAACAAAAGCTAAACCTCTCGAGAACGGGAATGAAGAGAGCAAGAGCGAGAGAGGAATAGAACATGAACAATCTGAGTCAAGGACTAGATCGGAAATAGAGAAAAACCTAGAGCAAAATGATTATAAAAAGGGGGCGTGAAAAGGCGGTCACGGGCGAGCTCAGAGATGCATTACAACTCGGCTCATAAGTCAGAGGCCGTGCATGTCTAGACGCTTTGAACGAAGCTGAGAGCAGATGATAAAAACCTCCACCAAGGGGAGAAAATATACTGTACGCTGATATCATGGAGAAACGAAGTCTTCGTCGAGCAGCGCAGCAACCAGTCCTGATCGAGAGGACGTTGAGATAGCTACACTTGGGCGTCTACGACTGACTGCACATGTCTACTCTGGAGAAGGAGGGAGACGGAGGCGCAGTGCCCTAGGGGGCCGGGGACCTGGAGCTCGCCCACTCATTTCCCTATGTTCCCTTGGTTCGGTGTATCCTTCGGTGGGGGTCTTTCACATCGCTTGGTATACATTACCTTGCCTTTTCTTTTTGACCTCTACAATCGTACTATTTTGGGAGGTAGTTCATGTGATCGCCCAAGATTGAGAATCCACGGAGCTGAGAAGCTCGACAGAATTGACCAGCGTTTCCTGGAACGCGCTTCCCTCCCACCCGGACGAGGGTCGAGCGCTACAGCAGCCTGCCGCGAAGTGATGTTCTCGATGGCAAGTGTGGGTGAGAGAGTTAGAGAGGTTCAGGACAAGGACCAGAGGCTTTTCACCGGGCTGCGCTGGCACCACCAGTCCAGGTCAAGAGGATCAATCACCGCGGGTAGTTGGGACAGAAGCCAACGTAGTGGATTGTGTTCCTAGTAGTAAGTGTGCAAGTTAGAAGCTAAGGCGAAGGAAGGGACAGCGAGTTTTAGACTGAGGCTGCTGCAGCTCGCGTTTCTGCTGCGTACTTCGCTGGAGGAGATAGACGATGTCGCAGACGCGATGGTATAAAAATATGGAACCGTGCTTATTCGGATGTCTCTCTCAGTTCTTTCAGCTCTTGGCATTTTCTTCTCCCCACCCCAATCGCATTCCCCACCGGTGATTGGAAACGCTTTCGGAAAGTCGAAAAGACCCGCGAGGAACCAATTGTTACAAAACAAATCTGTTGATCTCTTCTTGTACGGGGTCGTGCGTCCACCTCGGAGTAGCCTTTCTTCCTCGGAGTGTCCTTGTTTTGTATGGATCAGTATCGCCTCTGCGCTCCACAGGCCAAGGGTCGAGGGGCTAACTCTAGCGTTCGAATAGATAGCTAGGAACTTTTTCTGGGCAGTCAAGCCTAGGTAACTGAGAGGTAAACGCTGAAAAGCGGCGCAGAAGAAAATTCGCACTGTTGACAGGGACATGTCACGAACAAGGAAGAATAAAGAGGGGAAGATAAATTCACGAAGATATTGGGTGAGAAAATTGAAACTCTACTTCGCACTGGAGAGTCGTCTCCGTTTGCATCGGGATGATCAATTTATCTGGAGACTCTGTGAGGCACTCGAGATGGGAGATTTTGTGAATGCTCGGTACAATGTCTTCAGTAACTAGAGCTGTTACGTGCGGGTCACATGTACTTTGGCTCTTTTCGCTAGTGCTCAGCTGCTCACATTCGTCCACTCAAGGTGTGTTCGAGTGATGAGATAGATTCACACGATATCACCCAGCAGTATGCATTTCAATGTATGTTATCCAGTTTGGCCTTCGAGACATTGTGGGAGTGTCTCCTTTGTACTTCTTGTATATGGTTTGTATTAATGGGCAATTTAACATCATGCTTCCAGCACTAATCTTAACTCTTGACCCTTCGAACTGCTTAGAGTAGTGCAGAATTCATAAGTAAAGCGCTAGTTTTGAAGCTGAAGAGAAACACAACGAGGTTAGATGCCAGGTTGTGTCCGCCTACTAAGAGCGAAAACAAGTTTTGTCCGGGATGAATTGTCAGGCCCTCGTTCGTGTTAGGGCCATATTGCTGAATCTGACCGGAAATACTAATTGTTTGGTTATTGATTGTACAATTGCTTGTACCGACAACTGTTGGTCTTCTGTTGTCCATTTGTTTCCGTGTAAATTGGTCACGTATCATCAGAATCTTCAATATCTGGAGTGGTCTTCTTGGCAGCTAATCGAAGAAGCTATTTTTGTAGAGTAAACTGCCCTAGCCGGATGAAGTGGACTCTCGCATTCACCATATCGATTGTCTTCGAAAATTCATGCAATATAATTTAAGATCCGCCAGGTACTTTTAAGGTACAGATTTCAGATGTACCTGGAGTACAGTAACATAGGACGTTTAAAGTTCAGGCTGCCACTTCATGACGCACAAGAATGAATTCTTATCATACGTCAAATGGAAAACTAACCTTGTCTCAGGAATCAACTACGGTGGAATTGGTTGATTGTAGGAACTTATTATCCAAGATATTTCTGCATGAATCTGGCTTCCGTCGCTGTGGTTATTTTATCCTCCCGCAAGCTCCATGTATCAATTGAAAACATGGCTCAGTTCAGAAGATGCTGAGAGCTTGAGACCGTGTGTCCTTCTAGACGGTATTAATCTCATCTTCTTAAGACTGTCACATATAGCTTGAATTCTAGAAATCTGTGTATGATTTTTGATTTATGGAAATACTTCATACAGCAAGATGGTTCAAATGTGGTCACAAATCTGTCTGCCCCTCTTCAATTTCGGGATCATTGCGAGATTAAATTCCACTTTTATGGAGTGTCGGCCTGTATGAAATTCTCAGTCTATAGAAAACATTCTCTTGAAGAAAATTAGAAGATAGCATCCGCGCTGTCACGTTTGATCAGTTCTTCGGCTGGATAAATTCTTCACGTCGCTCTCCTTTGTACAGCTGAGTCATCTTAAAGCACGAACAGTTCCTCACTCTCATGATCGAACAATGTATGTTAATCTCCCAGAAATGGATTCAGGATGGAGAGGATGATGTGAAATCCGTTGATCTGTATATTGTAGTATATTGTATAGGGATATGAAGATAGCCCCAGACGTTCCCATTTCTCCTGATCTGAAATAGATCCACATAGAATATTTCCATACTCAAAGGCACAGAATGAAGCAATGATGTTTGCCTTGCTGGAGGTTTTTTCTATGTCAGCCATGCAAACTCACAGAAGCAGATGCATGGCCCACTAAGCCAGAGAACAACTGTTTATGAAAGTGTGAGATGTGTAAGAGAAAACTTCGATACTCCATTCTATTGTGAAATAGTTGGTGCAAGCTATTCTCTACAAGCATTGACGACATTAGTCATATGCTCAGTCAGTCAGTGCATATCCGAGTACCATTCCTCACATGGTTATCACGTTGAAGGTGATCATAACTCATCTTCGTTTTTATGGCTTCTTGAACAATATCAAATATAAACTGCAAGTTGAGAAGATTTCACACTACATAGCATACGGCTTCAGGTCTAGTCGAATCTCACCTAACCCTATTTTTTTAAATAACGAGAGTGCTTCGAACGTGACTACATTCCCTGCAGCTGTTGTCTTCTCTCAGGACCTTAAGAATTCCAGGCTCTGATAAGTCCTAGCTTATCATAGTCCAAGCCAGACAGTGTAAATGCACAGCTTGTGAGATTGCTGTAGCGGAACGGGTGACCCGTGATACACCCAAGAAGGAGCGACGTTAATAGTCCGTCCCGAGTTATATTTTTGCGCCGGTCTGGTAAACCGCCATATTTACCTCTAGTAAAAATGAGATTTATATTTTTTTATTGAAATGTGATATTTAAAGGTTTGGCTCTCGTTTTCGTGACCATTGACCGAGATTCCTGGTCTTTACTGCTGGGCTGGGTAGCAGGGACAGACGGGCCAGTTGAGGAGGGGAAGGGAGCTTAGCACGGCAAAGCTTGTTCTTTCCTCGGAGCGAGAGAGCTCTTCGCTTGAGCGCCAGGAGGAGAGAGCCGACGAGCGGACGTAGGAGAGGAGGGAGAGAGCAAGAGAGGTAGCGCGAGTTAGGGCCTGGTAAGGCTGTGTTAAAGAGCGATAATACTTGCTCGTTAACCATTCCGTGGTTGTGAAATCCGTGTGGGAACAACAGAAGAAGAGATTCATGTTTTCGCGTGCGTGAGACGAAGCAGGTGCAGTTTGTCGCAGCAGGTTATGTGCTTGGAAGCTTTTTGGAACGAGTTCATGCGTCGATAGGTGCCAGGCTTCATACTGTTCGCCTTGAAGTGGCGCTGTCGTGTAGGGGCAAGGGAGTTCGAGACAGTGGGTTGTTTACAATTTCTGGCAAAGGTTGGAAAAGCTTGCGCACTTCATATTTTTGGTTGGAGGTTGATGGCAGGTCTTTGGATATGTTGACAGACTTTGCTGGTAGGTTTATGGCTTGATGAGTGAGTAGGCCTTGGGAAGTGCACAACGAATGCTTGATTTCAACAGGCGGTGGCAGTGTAAACACACTCTCGAGTTGGATCTTTCATTGAGAACTTGCTGTCGAGGTCTCTTTTCCATCCCTTGATATCCTTACACATGGCTCATATCTATAGCTTCCTTGAGGGTCGGGGCATCTAGGGTGCTACATTCTCGCTTCATATCGTTGACATTGCAGCCTATCAAGTCAGTCTACATGGTTACCATTGCCATCCTATTTTTCTGGGCTTCCATTCAATACTTCAAGAACAAGCTGTGGGGTAGCTGGCATATGTCTTCTTCCATGTGTAAAGACCACAACGTTCATACAAGGAACCCTGTGACACGGATGATATCAGCACGCGAATATGTCAAAGTGAAAACTCTACGTTTTTCCACGAAGACTGTAGCACATGACATTTCAAATCAAAATGGATTGTTCTCCACGCACCAGGACAGGTTATGACAGACATTTCTTGTTGGGTGGATCAAACTCACAGGAACGGGTTTTGCCAATCGACTTGCGGTCTTGACAAAGTACTGCTATTGCCTTGGTGTGTGTATGTGCGCAGGTGAGCGACATTGAGATCAATAGTGTTTCTCACAGATTTATTCAACATGATCTTGACAGTGCGACATTGGATTGGATGAGAAGGGAAAATTATGGGCAAGAGGTCTTTGCTAAGGTGCTGCATGGGGTATCACAGGGCACAATCACGGAGAGGCTTGAGGAAAGTACAGTAGTCTAAACGCATGGGTCAGGACCGAAGGGGCTTGCATACCAAGAATGACTCGCACAGGATGTACTGATCAGACAAGACGACTAAGCAAACCAGCTTCTGGGATAGTTCTAGGATGGCAATGTTAGTGGAAAAACTCAGGATTCTGGTAGGAACTCTCAAGGATCTGCATGGCTGCGCTTGCAGCCAAGGCCATGGGAACAGTTCCAGTCAAGGAAAAGCAAGCCCTTCTTGAGACCCGACGTCAGCAGACTAAGAAGGCCAAGTCAATTCTTGCTGGTAGCTCGTCACGATCAGTTACCTCGGAACAGGCTGGGGAGAGTAGGTCTCTCGACGGAGAGTGTGTTACATGGTTGGACGCAAGCAGCAAGGAAGAAGGGGGTCTGAAAAGGCCTGATGGAGCTATGGATAGAAGTTTTGGAAGGCTTGCATTGCAGGCCTCTTCTACCTTTGAAGGAACTGAGGGTGATACTTATGTGGAAAGCTCGCTCGGAACGAATTATGATGGATCATCGCCATCTAAGTTTTGCATCCGGTAGGATTTCTATCCATGCCTTCGGTAGTAGTGGTGCGATCCCTTCGGTAGTATATGCATGCGAGTACGTCATTGCCAGCCCTATAACCGTGATAGCAGCTAATTCTCTTAGCGCGCCTGGAATCTCAATTGGGGCGTGGGCCTACTCTTGTTCCTTTTCTGGCCCGATGGACATTGCATGTTTCACATTCAGACGGTAAGGTTTCTACTACGGACAGGAACTTCGTATTATCGTTATCGCACCAGCACTCCTTACACGTTCACGATGTGAGCTGATTGTGCGTGCAAGACTTGCGAATTTTACTTCTGTTATTGTCTACAACCAGACCTCAAGGCATTACTCCTAGCCTCCAGATGAACTTCATGATCTCGCGGATCATACTGTAGTATCGGTCTGCAATTCCACTCGAGAATGGTTTTTAGGAAGGCTGAATGCGTGGGATGCCTGTCAAAACATGTTCAGTGTACATTTATTGTTCGCCGATGAATATCGATCATGATGGATTGTCATATCGGAGGAGGCAACCGATTTTCCGCTTCCGAAGCTTTTCTTTTGCTTGAGAGCTATTTTTCGAAGCAAATTTAATAATCCTCGTATCAGACTGAGGGACGACGAATTCCACGTAAATTGGAAGTCGTCAAACGCGTTGAATCAATTTGGAACTCAATTGAGTTTCACAACTAGTTAAATAGGTTACGCTGCTTTGAAGGACGTGTATGTGGTAATTATCAAGGACGAATATGAACACTACTTCCATTCAAGGTTATTCTTAGTCTGGTCGAGTAAAAATCTGTCATGTCTCACCTGAGTATGAATCGGGACATGATCAACTGGGCATGGAATGGTACTCCGTCGAGCATGTGTTTCTCATGGGACTGTCAGAAGAGTCGTACATGAACAAGTGACGATTACTAATACTCCAACGATCAGGTGTGATTCTATCACACGACTTGATTTCTGTTTCGATGTGGAATTGCAGGCAATACACGGAAATAGTTCGTCAAGACAGAGGTGATCTGAAGCAGAGCTGGCCCTTGGCCGAGGAGTACCTACGAGGTCGTGTTTTACAAGGTAGAGTACAGGTTTCCTTGTGGCCTCCCATAGGTGGTGGAGAGTCGGCACTCACACAGGCTTACAAAACTCAATCCAGCACACCGGAAGGTCCTCTCCCTCATTTATTCAAGCTAGAGATAGCATTTGCGGAGTCTGGGTTGTCTGAAGATAAGCCGGACCAATCGTGGTTAACGTCGGAGGAGGTGGGGATTGAGAAAAGGTCCGGAGCGCAGATAATCCCTAGCTTAGATCTTCTGGAAAGACGGCCGCTAGAAGAGGGGGCCTGCATCACGAGGACCAAATCGTTCAAGAGTGCTCGCAGGATTTCTCCTACGGTGGATTGTTCTGGGAACGGTGAAGCACAGGAACGACCGAAGAAGGATAGACGGCAGCGGGATACTGATGCCAAGCAAGTGGAGCAATTAGCTCCGTCTCAAACAGGTTCACTGCGATCGATTTCTAGAGCGGATGCCAAAGACGCCGGTTGCGTGGTTGAGCGTGGAGGAAAACAGGTCCAAGGAGATAATGGTTTGATCCAGCTCAAGGATACTGGGTTCGTACACACTGAACTAGGAGGAGTTGGTTTAGACACAGACAAGAGCAAGCGGTTCTTGGATGTTACTCATCCTTATGCGTCTCAGGAGAGAAAGACGGTTGACAGATCGTGGAAAGTACAGTGCTCAGCTGAGAACGTAGCGGATATCAATGATAGAGTTGCGAGTACGGGCAAAGGGAAAGCAGCAGCAGCAAATTTAGGTGCAGAAGTTGAGGGTTGGCCACTGAGTACTCGCAGCACTACGCACATTGGGGATTCAGGTAGTGATCCAAAACGAGGGGAGAAGGAAACTGGTGACGTGGTTGCTATCGAGAAGGAGACTACCGTTTCCAAACGAAGAAACGAGGATGATCGAGTTGTAGAAGAAAGATCTGCCAAATCAGACGGGGCTTCGGCATCACGTCCTTCGACAAAGAGGCAGAGCAACAAATCGTGTCCAGTCTGTCGATCATTTTCATCCATGTCTCAAACAACCATGAATGTGCACATTGACAGCTGCCTAGTAGAGCATCGGCAGGAAGAACATGTCTCGGATGCTGAACCTGTCGAGTCTGAGCTTGAACCTGAGCGCGAGCCTAATCGAAGTAAGATTTTGAAGTCCAAGGCCCAAGGCGCTAAACCAAAGCGGAAGAAGAGGTCAATAGCCGACATAGTAGCTAATTCCTCGACCCGTACCTTGGAGGAGAGCCCGGGCAAGGAAGGTGCCAGATTCATAGGCCCTTATTCCAGGTCCGCAGATCAGGTACACGACTCGAAAAACCTGAACTGGGTTTCAGGAAATAAGAAGAAAAGGCAACCGCGAAATGTGCCTTCGCGAAATTTGAACGAGGAGAACGAGAATAAACGAAGACGCCTTTTTCGCTTGGAATCCACCACTGAGGAGTCGAAGCCCGGAAAGCAGGAGAAGCGTCGGCTCCCCGAGAAAGAGAGGGAATTGACGAAGCTCAAGCAGTTGCGTGTGGAGAGGTCCAGTGGCCCCAGCACGAGCATCAGCAAGTCTCCCAAGGTGTGCTCCTTTTCCTCTCATTCTCGCCCACCCCAACTCATGTTTCGCTCTTAACTTTTTGCTGTGCGACATACGCATCCCTTCCCGACCTCTCGACCTGCAAGTTGATTTCTGTTAAGAATGATGAATTACGATCTTAGTCGTACGATTTTGGATCCCCTTGACCTTCCCCACTAACTCGCTAGTCTGTTAGATTTGACTTCCTGAAGCCGTTGAGCTGTCTCCTATCGCCGAAGTATTGTCCTGATTAGTTCCAGACCGGGACGTGTCTGAGTGCGTCCTACCGATATTGTTGTTTACGGATAAGACTCCTACGGTCACAAGCGAACGAAAACCCCTCGGTTGGTAAACTGAGGCAATTGATCGTTGTGCGGGATCTGAGATCTAGAGACGCTCGTAAGTGGGGCTGGGGCTGGGGCTGGTAGTTTTCCCATCGCCAGTACTAATTGTTGTTCCCATCACGTAACTGGAGTTTGAGCTGGGACGAGAGACCCCCAACATTCGGTAGTACTTTTTCCGTTTGAGGTACTGGATAATGATCTCACATGGTGCGTACTAATCTTCCGTACCTCTGTCACAAAGGGATGAGATCTTTATTCGCTGATGGCAACTGGTCCAATATCTCATGTCGGATGTTTGCCCAAGTCCGATGTTTCCATCGTGGTGGGGTGGTTGTGCATCACAACCGGAACAGTAGTTTCGTTTCACCTCGGGGCTAGTACAGACCTTGAAGGTGAAATTGTCACCGGTCGACTACTGGGTTTCGTCTAAGACGGACGGGAGGGTTGGATTCGTGGACTCGAGGACTCGAGTAGTGTTTGCAGTTTTGTGTCGTCTAAAGAATTTGACCCGCGATTTTGTGACTCGATTCACAAGCTCATCGCTGTAGTGATGCATACGATGCTCAGTAGTCCACGTGATTAGCGAGAGCAATCGCTTCTCTGAGCTGGGTAGCATTTCTCACGGAGTGCTGCTGCGTTGGGGGAAAACGGCGAGACGCTGCGGAATCGATATAACCAAGGTCCGTCTTGCGGTTGGAAATGCCGTCGGGCCTGACCAGTACGCTACAATGTCCGGGCTCTATCCGGATATTATCAGTGCTGTTTCGTCCTACCCACTTGTCATTTTCCTTGCCGGATCTGTTTCGGATCTCACAGTCGGGCTCGTAACGATGAGAACGGCACTTGTATGGCGGCCCCCAGATTTCGAGCTTTTAGCCTCCAAGGACAGGCTCTGGGGCGTCCTTGGTCGCGATTTTCTTGACGCGAGGAGGTCAATAAGAATTGCAGGCCAGCAGAATATACCGGATGCTGTTTTAGTCAAAGGTGTAGGGGGTAACCGCCGGATTAGCCACAGCACCGAGTGGGAGAGAAATATGGATGGTCACATGACCATTTGTCGCTCGGCTCCGGGGAAGAATCCGCTGGCTGCTTGTAGGCCGCTCGGAAGTCGCACCACAGTCATGCGAAATTTGTCGCGTTAGGTGAGGAAGATGATCAGCCTGGAACCCGATTCAGGGACACACCTGAGGTAAGCTAGCATTTTTCGGGGGCCTGTGCGTTGGCCTGTACTGCGGGAGCGACGACTTCTGTATCGCTCGCAGTGGAGCGGATGGATCTGTGACTCTACCGCACCACGCCCTTCGATGACTGCTAGGATCGCGATCATGTCAAATCGTGCGCTCCTCCACACCTCCCTTTGAGTCTTTTCCGGCTCCTTCCTGGAACACCTCCTCCTTCCTTGGCTTGAGCACGCAGCTGCTAACCGCACCGAAGCCTCCCTTTCTCTCTCCTTAACATTCCCTTTCTCTCTCCTTAACATTCTGTCCAGAGGCCACTTTTCCAGCTAGCCATGTAACCATTCGTCGTTACAAGAAACCCAATCACAGGACAATCCAATCAGACTTGTAATCCGAAGCCCCTGGAACATGCACTTACTTTCGAAGACTCGCCAGCGCTTTCCGTTGCGCTCCACGACATTAAATCCGCGTTCTCTTCGCGTGTTGTGCATGGTCCCGAGTTTAGCCCGATCGTCGGATCAATAATGTATATTTACAGATCCTATATCGATGTCAACGCATCGACATCGAAGGTGGTATGTGTCTCTTTCATTCCTTACGGATTGAATCCAACTGCTCTCCACCGTGGTGCTCTTGTGCATCTCACCGTCTCAGTGATGCATCACCGAGAGTTTCAGTAATTTACAAGACGAAGTTGACTGCCGTCTTCCTCCCTCCGAGTCTAGGAAGGCAGATTTCTCAGACCTTGTGCCAGTGGGATTAAATCTCAGGCCAAGTTCTAGCGTACGGGCTTGAAGTTGGACTGGTCCGTTGGGCCTAATTCGATAGAGGATCAGTTTCTTCAGACAACAACGACCTGGAAGAATTAAGCAGTTCTTTCAGAGGCCCACTGACCCCGCGCTTGAGCAGCAATAGGCCCAACGTGCGAGCGATCGGATTTCGCCTTCCTTCAGTGGGAAATCAGAGCGAGTAGATCGTCGCGTAACCGCGGCGCTTAAAATGCGGGCATGTGTTTCTACATGGATTACATGTTGAAATCGACGATTCCAGATCGACAGCCTTGAAATAGAACGTGCCACACATATGGACTTTTTACTATATCGCATCTTAAAAATAGCCGATATCGGCTAGTAGTACCAAGGCTTTATCTGGTCAGAGGATGAGTTGGGAAATTATATACTCCAGCCGATCTCGCACATGCCATGGCCGTCAACATATCTGTCTTAACCGCCCACGTGTAGCTTACGCAAACCTTTCAACTTCAATGGTCGAAACCGCAGCGCACCATGGAGCTTAGTGCCTCAAGTCGATGATCTTAGCCCCCGATATTAGGGGATGAGCTGCCCAGGTCAATATTAGAGTACCCAAAGGATTCTTCGAAAGAGTGGCCGTCCCCGGAGGCCATTGCACTAAGAGCCGTCGGGGTTTCGAATCGTAATGCCTTCAGTGTAAACAGTATTTTTTATGAACCATCTTCCTCTTGAGACGGCATTCAAGACAGCTACAGCAAACTCTCATATAAGAGTTTGCTGTCGCTGTCTACTAGGTCGAGTAGTAAACAATATTCTATCGGCTACATGAGGTGCTGAGGTGAGCCGTGCCTTGCAACGCGCAGCCAATGCTGGAAACCTCGGGGTTGAGAGTGTAGAGCCCACTTGGACAAAGGCATTACAAGGATCCGCGTGAATAGACTCGACTCGTAAAAGTTCAGTTCAGCTAAGATTGACTTTTGCAAGTTGTGTCTTCTAGTTGGGTACTGACGAGACACGAACCTTTCTTCGCCAGCTAATTTCTCTAGCGTAACCCGAGGCATTGTGTAGACACCGTGACGTGCGCGCGGGAATACATGTACCACTTTCTGTTATCACGTCGTGATTCAGCAGGCCATCTTCGTCATTCGATAGCATTTCGTGAGTGATTAGAATGGGATTTCCAGAGATAAGCTTTCGCCGATGTCGACGTACTACAGTCTTTCTAGGCGGTACCGATCAGAGTAAGCCATGAAAACAAGCCAACCGGATGTGGATCAAGAAGCACCAGGGAGTGACTTCTGCGCTCCTCAGAACCATGCAGGTTGGAAAATTCTTCCACAAATGTCGTGAAAGCAGCTGCATGTCTTCGTCTGGAGTGACTGTCGAGGGAATGATGGATTTATCCATTAATATTTACGCTCACGTCCGTCCGCCCGTGGTCGAATTTCTCATTTTCGAGTCACGGGTTCCAAAACTTTGAACCTCTTGGAATCAGCCTGTAGGGTGTCGTTTGCTCCGGAATTTAGCACGATTCTCCACCATTCAGACTCCTTTGCCCAGCTACATGCTCAGCAGAGCCGCCCCGGCCCTTTGCTATGGAGATTAGGAGCTCCATTTCCTTCAGGCTGCCGCGTCCGCTGTCGGGGTGGAAAATTTCATCTCCCGTCGGCGGGTCGTTCCCACGAGCAATAGCGGACCCGGACTCAAATATCGGCCAAGGGAGAAAGGGCGACGGGCGTAGGGTGGGGTCTGCAGGGCTCATGATGATATCTACTTCGGGTACAAATTATCCGGCCCCAGCGGGAATTTACGAATTTACCCTTTTGAGCAAGGCTGGAGACACATTTCTTTAATCATTGTCGACGGAGTCGAATCCGATGAGAGGAGAGGGCAGCCGAGCAACAGTGCCACTGCCCGCGCACCCGCCCGCCCGCCCGCCCCACTCCACTCACTCTGCAGCCGGTTCTTGAAATATTCGAAGCATTTCTGACGCGGCCCGGGTTCCAGCCAGCCGGGCCGCCCGGCCCCTGCTTGCTCTGCCCGGCCGTGCGCTACGATGCCCTCGGAGAAATGTCGAGGTGCGGGTCGGCAGTACACGCGGCCGTACGGGCCCGCTTTCAGGAGGCCCACTGGTGAGCATTCGATATGATATCGTGTCGTCCGCCATAATAAATGCTGACTTTCGGACCCGCTCCCCGGTTTCCTTCGGCATTGTATCGGGAGGGGGTGCGGATTAGAACCGGGGCGAGGTCGCGATAATCATTTTTTACCTTAACATCTGGAAAATGGGCCGTCCGTGATTGCGACTCGCTTGTCCACCATCGATTGTGCGTGTCAGCCTGCGGCGGCCGCCCCTTGCTTGGCCTCGCCTTCCTTAACCAGCACGGGTCGGGCAGGCCTGTGGTTACCGTTTTGCCGTTTTAAAATATCTACCGTGCATCACCGCACCATTTTACCATCGCCCCTAGCCCGCCGCCCTTGGTCGGACTTACTTGACCTACATGCCTACGCTACCTACTTTTACCTCGCCACTGGGCCGGGCTTGGAGCCAACGGGAGTGGCCTGGCGTGTAAGGCACATCCTCTGCACCGGGTATTGGACGACTGGGCGGGGGGGAGGGCGGGGGGCATACCTTTTAGCGTTCGGGGCAGTCGGCGCGGATTCTTCCCGGCGAGGCGAGAGAGCAAGGCGGGCAGGTCCCACAGCCGTTAAAAGAATCGCCGGCCGGACCGGTGCCTTTCATGCTTGGCACGCGGGCACGCACGCACATACATCCCATCGCTGGCATCGTTGTGAATGGGCCGCTCCTTAAATTGTGTCTGTCTGTGTGGTGACTGTGGTCCTCGGCCCCTACCAGACATGCAATCTCCATGCCTATGGGCCCCCGTACCATGCAAGATGACGTACGCCTTGTATGATGAGCACTGCATGCCATGGCGTAGCCGTAGAGGATGTGGTTGTTTAAGGAACCGTTGAAAGCAGGGGGAAAGATAATGTCACGTGTGGGAGTTGGATTACGTGGTCGTCGGTGACAAGCTCCCCCCCTCCCCCATATCCTAGCCCAAAGTTATGCACGTTAGCTTTTCGCCCGTTCCCTCCCGCTCCTGTAGACTTGTAGCCTGGTTCCCTCTTCCCTGCCCGCGCGTACAGAGTGTCCCCCCGTCCCTCCATAATTGAGCACCTGGCACACACGAAATGTAACCTTGCTGTGAATCGCTGGGCTGGGCTGGGCTCGAGCGCGAGAGACAAGAGTGTTGAGTTCGGGGGTGAGGGCAGGGCTCCTTTTCATCGGGAGGAGGACCGAGAAGTTCGAAGTTCAAAGTTATAATATATCTTTATAGAGCGTGATGTGGATTTCTGTCTCCAAGGAAGAACTTTTGGGGATTGTATAAGACGAGTGGCAGAAGCACGGTCAGGAAGGGCTGTGACTTATTGTGGGGTAGTGTTGATATTTATAGTCAATGAGTGCTGTCATTATGACTGAGAATGGTGTAAATGGGTCCTGGTGGGCTTCAATAGAGAATGGCCAAGCTCGCGCCCGATTGCTCACTCCCTCTACTCATTACCAGATACCACCGCCTCGCCTTCTTCTAGGCTTTAGCTATGTGGTCAAAGACAGTTCTTCTGCACAGTGAGCGCTGTGCAGTCCGGCCGGGCGGCCGTTCGTCTTGTCTGAGCTCCGAGCGAACGATGATGTCAAGATGGATGGTGCGCATCCGGCTCGGTGAAGACGAGAACGAAGACGCTCCACTAAAGCTCTCCCCCAGATACAGCCTTCGGTCCATGATCCCATTCTTCCACTCGATTTTCTCCTACCAACAAACCTATTTTGTATTTTGTTTGTTTGTTTGTTCGAAAGGACGTTCATTAAAGGTTTGCACAGTGTACATCATTCGCTGTGGCGGTGCCGGATCGTGCTGGTGCCGCTGCGTCGAATGCTTCCACTTGTCCTCGTCACTAGCTGATGAGGCGACGCTCCGCTTCAGCTTCTTCTTCGAGAGGTGGCGGCACATCGCAATCCAGCCGAGCCAGCGGTGACTCATGATGCTAGTGCACTCAAATGCGCAAATAACTCAGATTTCGTCCATAGAGCGTGACCGATTCTGGCCACCTCCCACGTAACAGAAGTTATCGCATTGATCGGAGCCCCTCACATTGCTCGGCCAGGCGGTTCGAAGAGTATATTTTTCTTAGTTTATGCACGAGTCCAGACACTCTGATGCGTGCAACACCAAAGTCAAGTTGTTTCCTTCAAGACGAAGAGTGGATTTGGCCGGTGCCAAGTCCATTTTACGTTCACCTGAGAGCGGTAGCTTTGTGAGGCCGGCACCTACCCACTCACTCATTCACGGAGATCCTGAGGTGTAAATTCACAAACCGATGGGCAGCGTGGCGCATTTTTGGCAACAAAATGTCCCACCACAGCGCAGGCCATATAGACGATAATTTAGGCGCAGTCAGAGTTCTGTGGGAAGTCCAATACCTTGTCGTGTCCGGTGGGCGCGGCAGGACGTTCGGTGTAACGGAGAGCGGGTGCCGTAAGTGCTTCTCCAGTCTTGATACACGTCGTGGATTGGGAGGGGAGTTCGTCAGGCCTTTACTACGGTTGGTCGTGGTTATAAATACCGACAATCATATACCGCTCGTAGCTTGAAGCAAGCTGATCATTAGTCCAGAATGATTTACTCCCGGGTCATACACCCTACGGCCGTGGCTATTCAGGAGATTCATTGCAGGAAAGGGGCCGGCCAGCTACCGTACGGGCAATTTATCCTCAGCAGCTACTGTATCTGAGTTCAGCTTTTAAGGCCCGCCCGAGGCCTCGACCATAAAAATTGCTGCCTCCCGGTCCCTTCTTCGGGCCAGCTTCCGGCAGCTGCGCGTGTGGGGCTTATTTCGTCTCTAGCACGAATTGAGCCGAACGGGTGTTGTCTGTTCTCGATCATACTTGAATACCTTAGCTGATTTGGCTGTGATCACAGCAAGTTGTAGTACTTGTAAAAAAAACAAGCTCTCTCGCGTCTCCGCCCGGAGCGTAAGAGGGCAGGGCCATTCTCGAGCTGGTCGAGAATTTTCCGTCTTCGTGCTGTGGAGGAGCGGTCTGAGAGAGAGAGAGAGAGCTACTGGCACATTTACAGTACGCAGCGTTTGGTTGTTAATTTGAACCACGAACTGCGTCCGAATGACTGACTGGCTGCCTGACTGAAAGATTGACTGGTCGACTGGGGGCGTCCAGGCTGTGCTGGACTACGTAGGGACTGGTAAAAGTCATTCTTGCAATGCAGTTGCCGTCCGGAAGATGCATGGGCGGGCAGATTCACAGGGTCGTAGTTGACTGTGAGAGGTGTTCTTACACGGGTCTCGTACCGATGACGCTAATAATTATATTGATCGCTCGCTCACACAACGAGACGAACTGTTATACGGACTCGAATGTATGTGGCGTTCCTCTTGACGATCTAGAATATAGCTTCTGACGTTCACGGTCAACCCGGCTGGTTGCGAAATATTCACTCGTGTAATTGTAGTGTCATGGGTCTAGACTTCGTGGGCGAGCTCAACTTTCCTGGTCTTGATGTGGACCGAACCTTTTTGTATTGGAATTTCGCAATCAACCCCTGCATCCATCTGGGTTGAGTGACATCTGGTCTTCACAATCGTGTACTCATATTTGGACTGGTGCCGATTGTCGTAAGAAGTATGTAAATATACTTCTATGACAATCATCAACGGTCCAAATTATGTGTTGACCATCTTCTCTACATCCGGCCATATAAGTTAACAGAGTGCACGAGCAATAATTAAGTTTGGAAGGGGTGTATTTTCTACCGGTGTATGACCTTCGGTTTTTAGATAGCAGTTATGATAGACTCTCACGTATCGAGATAATTCACTAAGTGCATATATTTGAAACTTGTTTGGCCTTCTCGTTCAACAGGTAGGATATTTAAGATTGTTGTTCACGTACATGAAATTCAGCTATACTTCAGGGAGGCCGTCGAGGTGGAAATATAACGAGAGGTTCTGAGTTTATCGTGGTCGTTGACATGTATAGGGTGCCACTCCTGTCCAAAATGGTGTTGAAGCGGAATCTCGACGCTCAGGAACACGGAAGTCAGGAGTGGCAACTCCAATGTCACAGTCACCGAGCACTAGATCAGGTTCAGGAAAAGGTCATGCGGTACAATCAAACAAGGAGAGCAGCGAAACGGATGGCTCTGAGCCAGTTGTCCCGCTTCGAGCAACCCGGACACCAGCTCCAGAGGAGTTACGCTTGGAGATGGGGGAAGTGCCTGCACAGATTCCGAATGCCTTCGCACCTGGCAAACTTCCAACTCCAGCACAGGAAAATTCTGCCACCGCAGCTGCAGCTAAACCTCGTGCATCCAAGGCTCATGCGATTCCTGTCGCTGCTGGAAGGCTCGCTTCTACTGTGCCGACAAGTGATAGAGCACCTAAGGCTCCTTGGTATCCTCCTGCAGCAATGCTTCGTAGTGGGACCATTCCTCCCATAGTAGTCACAGAAGCCTCAGGGAGTACCATTCATGAAGTCACGAGTGGAGTACCGAAGAGTCCCGGTTCATCTGCAACAGCCGGAAACTTGATTGATACAGCCCGGATCGTGACAACAGCCGAGGCATCGATCTCTTCCAGGAAGAGTCCTCGGTCAGCTACAGCCAACTCGAACAAAGTTCAGAAAGCTACCAGATCGGTGGCACGAGAAACTCTACTTTCTACTGAAATCAATGACGAGGCGAAAACCAGTATGGTTGACCCCGGTACTAAAACGAACTCACAGGTCGAGGTCCAAAGCCTGGCTGAGTGCAGGATATCTAAAGAGGTCGAGGACTATTCGCATCAGGTTGAGGCTGCTTTCGGAGGAAATAATAAACAAAGTCTGCATACTCGTGGTGGATCTCGAGCTGCCTCCGTCGGGTCATTGCCTCAGTTTTCATCAGTACAGGCGAAGACGGATGCCGTTGCAGATAAAATTTCTGCGACTGCACTCGTGGGCAAGTCAGAGGGAGAGCAGCGATCACTCTCAGATAAGGGTCGGAAGAGAGAAGAGAGAAGGGGATTAGTGATAGCTGAGGAGGAGAGTGCAACAGCTATCTCTAGTGAAAAGGATGTATCGAAGCAAGATCAAGATACAGATCTTTCGGCCAGATTGATTCAGGAAGGCTGCAGTACCGGGGTTTCGGGTGACACACTGATAGTAAATGTGGGAGCAGGAAACTCTATCGAACCGAAAGTTCCTAGGCTGAGAAAACGTGGTGAGTCGAAGGTAAAATCCCAAACCTTGGCAGAGAAAGCTGTTGGCAAAGGAAAAAGAGCTCCGGTCGTGGATTCTGGTCAAGACGAGGACACTAACCTCAAGCGGGGATATCCAAATGCCGATGTGAGCGAAGAAACTGCTGTTGTAGGAAACCAGCGAAAAGATGATAAACCGAAGCAAGAGAACCAGAAAAAGGACAAGAGGCGTCAAGCAGGGGTTACTGCTGTTGAGCAAGCGTTTAAATTCAGTACTGTTTCTGTTCAGCCAGCATTTCAGGAAATGGTTGTGAGAAGAATAGAAGGGGTAATGGGGCAAGAGAAAGCTTCTGAACATGTGGTTTCGAAGGTGGTGGGACAAGAGAAGGTAGTGGTCTTGACAAGTTCGAGTACCATTGAACTAGCATCTGCCATACGTGAGCAAGAGAATGGCAAGAAAGAGCGGTCGTTAGCTGAGGTACAAGCCAATTCGAATACTGAAAATGCAAGGCCAGAAGAAACCGTGAACAAAACGGCGCAATTACTGTTAGGAAGGGATTCGGAAGTTAGCACTTCGTCTTCCCAGACGAAGGAAGTTAATTCTCTAGTGCAAGATTGCGGACGCACTGCGCCAGCCGTCGTGGAAGACGTGATCCAGGGCCAGTGTTCTCAAGACTGGCCTCTTGTTCCACCAAGACCACTTGGCCGGAAAAAACTGCCAATTAAATGCGCTGCTCGAAGTGTAGGTACAGCTAATGCTGTGGCATTAGCCGCAAAGCAGGCTTCAGGTGCCACTCGTCAAAATACACGGGGAACTAAATCAGTCAAGAAACCTGGATCAGAAATTGCAGAGAAAGGAAACCATCCGGTTGAAGTCCCTGCTGCCACTGTTCCCAAAACTCCCGTGAGTCGTAGTAGAGCTGCTCGGCAGTTGGCGAAGTCCCTTCCAAGTGGCAAAAAAGGTGCCCCTCAGATCGAAGTATCGACTGCTGAAGGCGAAAACAGTCGTCTTGCAAATGGAGTCGCTGATCCGAGTGCAAAAAAGAAAACAGACGTCGTTGGATCCACCTCCATCAATTCTGGCCAACAGGTACGGTCACCTGTCTCGCTTTCTTCTCTGATCCTCGTGCTTTGAAAGTTTCAGACGTCACTTGGTGAAGCCATAATTTGCCCATAATGAATGTGTAATCCTTCAAAGGTCGTGTTATTTCCCTACTTTTGAGTTCGATGCTACCTGTTACCGAGCAGTTCGGAAGGTTAAGTATTTCCGTCGAAGATGATGTCATCAGCATAACAATGCGTAATTGCAGGCACTGCTGTCGCCATCCTCAAGCTGGGTCAAAAGTCCTGCCGTAGGACAGACAAGTATGACTATCGATCCGGAAATAGTTCCTTCTTCTCCATGGAATCGTGCGACCGAACCTTCTGAAATTCCCAGGACTGAAGTCATGGCAGATGATCGAAGGACTGTTTCTCGTGAGGAAAGTTGTGGTGCACCTGACAGGCCCCAGTCTGAAGAGCTACACTGTACAGAAACTCTGTTTAGCGCCTCTCAAACCAACACTGAGCCGAATGCACAGGAAAAGACGTCACGTGGAGCCATCTCAGATAAATTAGTGGATACGGGACCAAGATATGCAGAGGTGCCGAACGATACTGAATGTGGAAAGAACTCTCACGATGATTTAGATGCATCGGTCGTTCAAGTGGCAGTTTCCCAGCTAGATAGTTGCTTCTCTACAGGTAAGAGTCCTGATGAAGGACGCCTTGGAGGGACTACTCCTTCGAGTGATTTTCCAGGAGTGAATGATAAAGATTCAAGAGAAAATAGCAAGGAACAGGGAGCTCCTGGAGATTCCGTTCCAGCGGCCGCAAGCCTTACTGTTGGATTGCCTAGTAGAACTGTCTTGACGCCTGCGAAGGTGGTAATCGCTACCCTACAAGGCAAGCCCGATACAGCAGGTTCATTTCAGACTCTGGAAGCAGGGCTTGCGACATTCACAAGTAGCATGGAAAACGCAGTTCGGTTGGCTGCTTTGACTACGAAAGTTGCATCGACCTCAGCCAGTATGAATACTCAGCTGAGCCCAGCTCGTCAGAACAGCTCCAATCCTGCTGTTGGGATGATCCGATCTACTCCTTCCTATCGGCTGAACACTACTGCTATCGAGGGGGGCGGCTCTCAAGCAGTTATTGTTCGAACGGGCACGTCGACAGCAACTGCACCTCCAACTAGTTTCACGAGTTTGTTGCAGTCTACCACCCTCCCGCCTCAGAGCTCTGCGGCGTTATCACTAGCAATGCAAGGTACAAGGCCATTGCAAGAGGCGTGCGCAGATCAGACTGAACTGTCAAGAGCAGTTGGAACATCATCTCGAGATCCGATGGATACTTCGAAAAGAACTTCTGAAGGACTCAATTGGGCTGCAGAGAAACAAGGATTAGCAAGTGGAAGCGATGCATCAATCTCTACGCATGTTGCAGCAGGTACCGCATTCTTTAGGCCTCCTCCTGAAATGGCAGGACCCATCAAGGTTTCAGAAGCTGGGGAAAAGGAGGTATCGAGACTGCCAGGTTGGATGATTGCAGCCATTTCTGATCCAAAAGGCGGCGAGCCTGGTGCCTCAGTAATCACAGAATCAGAGCACACCCTGACTGTGAAAGGGTTGACTAGCAGCCCCGAATGTGGTGAGATGTCTGGTTCCGTCAAGGTACGGCTCTGGGGTCGAGATGTAGTCGTTCCTCCAAATGAGCAGAGCACACCAGCCAATCCACCGTTACAACAATCTCCATTTGGTCACAGAAGTGAGACCCCATCGGAGACTATCGTTACCTGTCTCACCTCCACTCCGTGCCTAGAGGGTACACCAGCGAGCTCCCAGTCAGTCCTACAAGTGACCGCTCGGCCAGCCCCAGCTCGAAGTGGGCAAGGTGTCGCAGACGGTACCCACCAGATTAGTATGCCAGTCTTGAACGCCCCCAACAGTGTTGGGTCTGCAGACGTTGTGGCAGTGTTCGGAAAATCAAACAATCATCAAGCTGAAAATTACCTTTCGCGCTTGGATTACAACAACCAGAGGACCCCCTACTCTGCAAATAGCAGGGAAGAGCTAAGAAGCAGCAGAGCTAGCAAGGGCCAGACTCCAACAGCACAGTCTACCATTCCCCCTGAAGTCATAATCATCGACGATACTGCAGAATCTCCTGCAAAATCAGGGGATACTTTCTCAGGGGAGGGTTTGACCATGGCCTTTTTACTTGATTGCGGTGCGCTGCGATACCTTCCCACGACTCAAAATGGCAGGTCTGGAAGCCAGTTGATGGAGGTGGATCCATCGAAGATACCTCAGCGACTTGTCAATCACAATTTCAATATATTGGCAGAACTGAGGAAGATAGGGCTTGTTCCTGCACCCAAGGCAGTATTACCAGCCTCTTATAGACACTCTAGTTTAAGCTTGGAGGTGCCCCACAGCACTCCACCTCCTGCTTCAAGAGCTGTATCTGACCAGCTTCCGCCGTGGCTCTTAGCTGAAAAGAAGAGGAAGGAGGCACAAATTGCGGAGAATCTCATTGTGCTGGACGATGATGATGAGCCTCCAACAGGAACTGTAATATTAGGTGAGAGGCGCCCATTACACTCCCGCGCTTCACCTGGGGGTGGCTCCAACCTCTCTGGGCAGTCTATCACAACAGGTCAGTTATCTCCAACTCCTATTGGGAAGTCTGGGAGCGACACTAGGGGGGTTGATCATTCCACAGCTGCGTTGAGAACCACAGGCATGTCGATGGGTGCTACAACGGTGTCAGCATCCGGTCGTCATAGCCCCGCAACGTCACATGCTGGAGTACATTTCCGAAGGGGAACAAGCTCATCTTCTCTTGGAAGTGCGCCGTCCGTTGCACAGAAAAGTCTTTCTAGAAAGAACGATCTCATAGCTGGTGAATTGATAATGACAACTGGCGAGGACGAGGTCTCAGTTACTGGCCAGGAAAGTCTTGTACGAGAAAAAAGCCGATTGCAAACTCCAGGAGGTAGCAAAGATCATCTGGTGGGACAGATATCCCCAGGACCTTCTCGTAGGCAGAGGGAGGAGAAAGAGAAACAACAGCAAGTTCCTGATCTCCATCACGAGAAGAAGACACCGAAAGTAGGAGGTGGAGCACAAAAGTCAGGTTCTCCGACACCCGTGGTTGGTGGAACTCCTTCCAAGAAAGGCAGTGCTCAAGGCATTTCAATCTTAGCCCCTACCTGGATGTCAGGGAACAATGGCTGGCCTAAGAGGGGTGCTGCAGCACAAGCGTGCAAGCAAGCTGTTGAGAGACTTAAAGCTCAGATCATGTCCAGTCCAGCCAGAGATGGAATTTCTCAGGTCGGTACTGGTGGTGTGCTTGATTTCGAATCGCATATGATTGGACAAGCACAGGAGAAATCTACCAATTTCGGGGGAAATCTGACAACTGCCAACTCAAGTTTGCAGAATATTTCCTCACAGGCTGCCCAAGCTGGCTTTAGATATTCTTCTTTGTCGAGTAGGAGCGGGGGAGATCATGAGAACGCTCGTAGTTCCAAGGAGGCTCCTCACAACGGCCGAGGAGTAGGTCAATCCCCAACACCAGTCGCTTTCTCATCATCAACTTCAAGCCCTTTCCCATCCGCAACAACTCCAGTCTCCTTCACAACATCAACGCAAGGTCCTTTCATGTCATCTGTAGCTGCGGCTGAGAGGGATGTCTGTACTGTGTCCAAGTTAACGACTGTACCGTCCGTGGAGACATCAGGTATCAGAGTAAACCATGCTAGTCACAGTACGGCGGGAGTCCAGGGGAGCGAAGCTAATAAAGGCCGGAGTAGCAACCAAGGAGCCAAGTCATCAGACCCTTCAGCTACAAATGTTGGAGATGGTAACTTGAGTAACCTTGTGGTGTCGAGTACTCCAGCTCGCGAGCCGTCATCTTCAGAGCAATCATCACCCACGTTTTCTCACATTGGAAGGTCAGGTTCTTCTTCACCAACCGTTAGGTCGAGGGGATTGGGTGGAACCAAGACGGCCATTGAAGCTAGTAGTTCACTGCTGGCAAGAGGAGCGATGCAGTCCGAACAAAGCTCTATGTTGACTGCGCAAGGGACACCCTTCTCCAGACTACCTCCTTCGAGGCTTTCCCTTCCTGTTACCGGAACATCTATGTCAATATCGAGCACTAAAGCACTTCTTGAGCAAGTGTGCTTCACAACCAAAGCAGCTACTGACACTTTCACTAGGGAAGTATCGAACATGCATGAAGTCATTGAGCAACCGATCGGAGGAATGGCCTCACCTCAAAAACGAATTCAACCCTCTCGTCGGAAAAGCACGACTCCTGTGAACGGTGGGGAAAAATCTACTTCAAGTCCTATTTCAGCTGGTTCTCCGCCTATTCCTGCAACGTTCTCAGCAACTGATATCACATCCAGCTCAAACGCTCTAAACAGGTCAACACCTGGATTTCCATCCTGTGGTTCTTCCTCCATTACTGACCAGCACAGGCAAATGGAAGGAGGTATGATAAGTGCAGCGACCTTGAGAGATCGTGCAACCGTGTTAGGGGCAGGAGCTTCGAGAATTACAACCAACGACTTGCCTTTGAGTCCTCTGTTTGGAAGGACTTCTCAAACCTCAAGCCCGAGTCCAAGCTCAAGCCAGGGAAGATACACACCTAATAACACAGGCATCAATTCTTGTGACGGAGGAACATGGAAACTAACGAGTCAAACAGATGAAGACGATCAAGACTCGGTGACTATTTTAACCGAGCGGAGCCCAGGTAGTGGGATTATACCAGGCTATCGGTTGCCTCCTCATATCGCCAGAGCGATGGGGGGTCATACGCAGAGGTCTCGGCCTACAACTCCAACGACTCCAGTCACAAACGGTGGCTTCTTTGGGCACAGAGGTAACGCGAGGTTGGAGCATCCTTTCAAGCAGAAGGACTCGGATAGTTCCCCAAGATCTAAAGATTCTGAATGTCCTGCGCACGAGAGATATTCACAAACCAGAAGTACAAGAGAGGAGAAGATGAAGGACGCGCAAAGAGAAAGCCCCAAGTCTACTTCGACAGAAACTGCAGAAAAGGTGAGAAATTTGAATCCTGCTTTCATCATATCACGCACTTGAAATTGCACAGCCCCTTCTCTCTCCATATACAACGAGCTGAACAGTAACGAGCCTCCTGGCAGTACATCTGAGTTGTGCTTCATGTCATGGAAACTCCATCTTGCTGCCTGCTTGGTTTGATCAGTTACTGGTTATCCAGACACACATAAAGCGTAATGTACAGGTTTGATGCGAAATAATAATTCTTGATGAACTCACTGATTTTTAATCGATCAGGAGGTTTTGTGAGGACGCTTCAAAGCGTGCTGATTGAGGTGAATAAGTGAAACACCCGAGGCTGATCAATACATTACTCAGTGAGGACTGTTATGTGTCTCATTCAGTAGTCAAGAGACATCTAACTTAGTCCTTCAACAAGAAAGCTATTTCCAAGTTTGCGTTCTCGCTTGGCGATGGAAGGTAGAGATTATAGTAATACATTTTCCACTCCTACGTATCGCAGATTCGCACTAAGAGTTTAAACTCCATTTGATGGGGATCCGTTGCCAAGGAGATTCCTGAATTGTTAAGTAACCAAGGCTTCCAAGGTTGTCACCAATGTGCATTGCCAGGTACCGTTGATTACCTTATCTGTTCATTGAAGTCGCCCACTCTTAAGTTGATGATGTTTACCCTTCATCTTCCTTATTAGGTGTTTACTGTCTATGCCAACAGGCTTCAGTGACGGTGCGGGCAGGAGATGAACAAAGGAGAGTACAGTAAATTGATAGACGGGGTTTTTGAAGGCACCGGTATGCCCCGAAGCTGTCAAGTCCTCTCCTCTAATTCCTCAAAGAAACGAAGCCGATGACTCGTCTTGTATATAGAGTAATGATGTCGTTTTAGGTGGGCAGTGCGGAAATTAGGTCAGTGCTGCCAGCGTATAGGCAGATAATGTTATGCGGCTTTACTTTGTACATTGAGCATGCTAACTAGTGTATTGAGTTCTTTGAACCTCATTTTGATGAACACATGGTACAGATAGGTAGATATCGAAGCATGCCACTGTAAGACATATTTAATGGATTGGATCCCTTCAATCAAGCAATGATCTGTTCTTACTCTGTCGCAATTTTCGGCCTTCATACACCTCCTGAGCTTGGCTAGTTCTCTAAATTGAAGTTTTGGAATAAGCACGTGCGGCTGGTATTCCATGTCTGGAGCAACTAATGCGCATGCACCAGGGGCTTTGGCTCCCTAGTTTTGGACAGGTTTAGGCAACTACATTGTGGCAACTACTTTGCGTTGAGCATCTTACGAGCACTTCATGTAATTTTACATGTGAAAGCCTGATGTATAATTTATTCTGGTGGTTATCTTGCTTTTTACAGACATATCCTAACTGAAAGCAAATCAACCAACGGGTGCCATTGAATTAGTTCGGTGCGAAGTAAAGCATTGCCTACGTCACAGGCCTCGGTACGAAGGGAAAGCCTCCTTGTAAATCAGCGTTTTAATATCTGGACACTCTACACAGACAGTAAATCGATGAAACTTCGTGGGGTGTATCATTGGTCTCTACAAACATTCTTACGTGAAGTCAAAGATACCGTGCACCTGCCATGCTCGATTTACGTACTGGACGTAAATCGAGACAAAGTCTGGCATCTCATGTGCCAGACTTTTCGGAGACTCGAAAATCATGGCGTGACGAGGTGATCAAAGGTTGACTATGGGCCCACAGACAGGTGTCTTGTTGACATGTCGGCGAATTGAAGACTTATCGATAAAATATCGAAGACTTCGATTCTTGTCCTCATTGTCAATTATTGTGCCTTCTACATTCTACATTGTGGTGTGACGTAAAGTAGTGTGGATTAATTATCTCATGATGAAAAATATGTGGTCAACAACAGAACTAAACATACCACGACGTAGGAACCCAGTTCTTTAAAACTGGATCCATTTACCTGTCTCCAAGTAACTCGCACGATGCATGAGTTTTTCTTCTCCTCTATCAGGAGGTGGCATCGAGTAGGATCAGTGGCCGGCACAGCATCACAGCAACCCTCCACCGAGTAAGTTTTTATAAATATACAACAAAAACGCGCAGCCTTCCTAGCCAGGATGCGGAGAAGAATTCCCAAGCAAACCGAAGGCCTGTCCCATATTTGGGTATGCAGTTAAAGAGATTCTGACTCGAACTTGTCTTCTCTTCTGATACTGTACGGTCATGTCTATGCGTGCATATCCCTGCGAGAAGTAATCTAACCTGACACAAGAACTGCTCAATGTAAGTCCTTCACTCTTTCAATATCATTAGACATAGCGAATACCACCATTTATCAGGTGGATATATGAAAATTACCAAGTTTCTGGTTTGCACGTATTTGTTCAGTAATAATTCGTAATTCTGTGATTGCTTGTTTTTTTTAGCTCGTGTTTGATGCGCGAAACCTTAGTGGCGCCAGAAAATTTGCCAGTACAGTACCGTTCCTGCAAAGTCGTTGTCTTATCGTAATACACATCTTCTACAGAGTATGCATGATACAACGCTATCTGCTCTCCTTGAGTATGCATGGTCCGAGTCTAATCCAGCAGTGATTTGTCAAATTCGGCACACTGCAAAAGCTACTCATCTACTCATCTCACCCTGCAAGCGCCAACATCGTCTGATCAGCGTCAAAAAATTCCTGTAGTTCACTCCGCCTGGGTATACGACATAACTCATGTGTAAGGATGCCTATGGCATTGGTTGATGAGGATGAATGATGGGAATCTGGAGGATTTTAAGATCCATGCCATTTGTCTTTCTTGTAGTGCTTCTATCGAGGTTTCAGTGACGTCCACCGCTCCAATAGCTATTAGCATGCCGCACCGCTTGTAGAAGTCGTCACTAAATTGCTTCTGCTCCTGCATGTCCGGACGGCGCGACTACTAATGGCCACTATGACGTTAAACACTCGTGGGAGTCTTCACATGTGTGATCTCCAATTCCAGTCTTTCACTTCCGTGAATGATTTCAGAACCTGAAGAAAAAAGACAGCGTTGAGCGAACGTGGATTTATACAGGAATCACCATTCGAAACACGGTGTCCTTTTTCAGCAGGTCGAGTTCCAATTCACAGCGTAGCTACGTGAACTTCTGCAGTGACACACGCATGCATATGTGCTCATACGCAGGAAAAAGATAGTAGTCACACCGAATAGGTGAGCTTTCTCTAAATCACGAATGTGGATCCGTCACTGAAGCCTGAAAGGGATGGCAACTCTGATCTAGGAGAGTAGCATGTGCACAGTCGTCTGAACCTTCGTCCTCGTCCCCGTCTTTTGCCCCCATTCTCTCACAATTGTGTACAAGAGGAGCAGAGACGAAGAGGTGTACTGTAACAGCATACTCCTAGTTCTAGAGGAAATAAGAAAGGCAAATGGCTGCTAACTGGATTCGACTGCTAGTTTTCTAAATGCATTCAAAAGATGAATGCTTTAAAAAACACCGAAACCCAGAACTGTCCAAACAAGGACAACCAGAGAACCTATGCAGCTAAGCCTGACAGACTGCAATTTTGACTGGTTGAGGATCTGAGAATGCAATGAGTCATTTGAACTCCGGGAGTTGCTGCTAATCAGGAACTTATCCACTTCTTCTTTACCGTAGGAGCGAATTGAGGACTTGAGAGGAACGGGCGCGAGCGCAACCCGCCGGGCAATTGCCGAGGCTACGTGACCCGGCCTTTCCTAAGGGACTGATTGCTTGAAGCTGCTGGGGCGCACTCAATACATCCCCGAGCCGTCATAAATTGGACCACATTTTAGACCAGGTGCGCAAGCCGTATACACGCACAAATCTAACACATACGTATTCGTTAATATTTATACGGTTACTTGCGTATACACCCTAGAACTGAGCGGTTTGTACTGAGACGCACAGTCGGGAAAAGCCTGATTCGAGAATGAAAGACGTGGATATCCTCTTCTAGCCCCTGTCCCTCTCTCTGGTATTCCGAGCGTACTCAAATAGAGTTTGATAACATTCCTGTCAGTTCAATATTTTAGGTCCTGCCTTGCTGAAATACTTGTAAGACATGCTTAGCATGGAGCTGTTCCTCTCCCTCATCATGTCTTGTCAGTTTGTCTTTTGCTCTTTTTGTATTATTGAAATCTAACCACCAGAAGTGCTGTTTTCCTCTGGCGACCAGTGGTTACAGCTCAAAAGTGGGTCCAGTTTCCAGGCGTGTGCTCTGAAGCTGAGTAAAAAAGGTTATTTCCACTTTTACCTCAAGCTCCATGTGCAAGTAGAACGAAGAGGAAGGTGCTGGCGAATCTGTCGATGGCAGGTTGCGCCTTTACAAGTGTTTAGTTCTGGAAAATTCCACCAAGCTGAGCTTGTAGGCGGCAGGCAACAAGTAGAAGCAGGTGCCATTAGGTAGGAGAACCGTCGACGATAGATTCGAGAGGGGGCATATTTGAAATTCTTCTAACCCTGAGAGTCCGCCCAGACCCAACTCTTGCACACCAAAACCATGCTAGGCAGATGCGGGGGAAAAAGTCACTTCTAGTCTGCGTTTCAAAGAGGGAAAAGTCCTCAGAACGTAGAAGAGGGTCGGATGCGTCAGGAGCAAGGACTGGCCTCAGGAGTCCAGCAAAAGTCTTTTTTCTATTCCTTAAGAAGAATGCCCAGAACAGACAATGCAAAGTCTTGCTCTGCACGGGCGAGCAAAAGACCCTGTTGCTGTCTTGCTGCTCACTGGCACGCCGCTCCTTGCAGATCGATCGTTGCTTTGTACTTGTTCCCACGGCTGAGAGCCGAGCGAACACACGAACCTATGAAATTGCTGCTATTAGTACATACGCCTCGGAATGCAGAGGATGACGCCATATGGCATAAATCCTGGTAAAGTTAAAACCTAAAAAAGTGAAATTCCTCGATAAGTGGAAGCTCAACATCAGCCCCCCGAAAATACACGTGAGGATTTTGATGAACATTTTCTGAATCAAAGATCACTCCATTCCCTGATTGCTACAAATCTACGAGGGCAAGCCCTCAAAATCTGCGAGGAATCATATATAGTAAGCTACAAATCGGATGATAGTCACTCACATGCGAACAAGGCCTAAACGAACGTGGTGAACCTGGAAAGTTCAGATTTGTATTCCCTAATTCTCAACTGAAGGCGTCCACTAGTGACAAGAGGAGCGTTCCAGTTTGTCCATGCCCGTGAATGTGGCCCCGAGAAATTACACAGAGCCAGGTTCGACTGCACTGCTGCTCCTTTTCATGGCTCTGACGCGTCTCCCACTGTCCTGGAATCATCCGGCTCACTTATTGCTCCGCAACTCTCATAAAGTCCCAGCAATCCAGACCTGGTCCCAATTTCGGTGCTCACACCAATCCCCCATCCGGCCCATAAACAGTTGTGCTGGATCTTCCCTCCTCCGACTGCCCCCCATCCCGAGTCCAGACACACCATGTGCTGACACATCGTGGCTCTCCCTCTTCCCCTTCCAAGTGGGCCCAGCTCAAGTCTCAAGGCCGTGCCCAAACCCAAGTTGGTTCCGGTGCAAGTAACGGTCGCAGGGTTCGAGATTAACCGAAGAGTGTGCCCCTTGACTTTCACTTACCTTCACTTCTTAGCGAAGAGGCAGTAATGGTGATGGTGACTCCGATGGACGCGTGCATGGTCGGAATGAGGAGGATCTGACGAAGGAAGTTGGTACTGCGGGGTTCCAACTTCCAGGGCTGGGTTCTGTTCACGGTCTGTGTGCCAGAGCAAGCCCATACTGGTTGGGGGCAGAGGGATTACGCTGCGGCCATGGAATGTGTAGGCCTTAGCGCCCGGACGGCCGTCGGTGGTGGCCAGCTAGTGCAACCCCCGGTGCCCGTGCTTCTGGATGATGCGTCGCGACTGCGAGTGCTGCACCCTGACCTGCATGCGAACTCGCGCGTGGTCGAGAAGACGTGCAACTTGTTCCGCTCTAAGCTTCTGCAATTCCACAGCGTTCGATTCGGTGCCCTCTACCCTGTCATAGTTAGCATTGCATAGTTCCTTCCCTTTCCCTTGGACTATCGCACAGCGTGGACTGCCGACGTTATTCGACATTGAAGTTGACGTTTGTCACCTGTCGCCAGTTGCGATCTCGCGAGAAGGAGTCTTCCTGATGTCGATTGCATTGTCTTACGTCTGGCTTCAGACGAGTTTATGTGACTTCATGCATTAGGTTATTGATTCCGATTCCGATTGCTTCTTATCTACGAGGACATTACCTGTCAGGCTCGGGTGTCAAGTGGGTTTACCCGAACACTCGTTTTTTATTCAGAATTTATGAAAACGGTGTGCTTCGCTCAGCTGGGCTAAGCTTTTCGCAGTAACACGCCACGATCGAGTTTTCACACGAAGTCATTGACCCGAGCTGTTGGGAACTGTGCCGTTTTCTTACTCGGAGATGTTACGATCATGGATCTGGCATGATCGACAGTGATCCGTACTGATGTCATTCATGTGTCACCCCGTAGTCTCTTCCTCCTTTCCTTTTCAGTCAAAGATTTCTGTGGTAGGATTTTCTTCCGATCTACAAACAGTGCCCATTGTTCGGTGAACTCCAGTAACCAGCAATCGACTGCAGCACTCCATACTGTGCAGTTATTTTGGAAGAAAGCTCCAACACAGTTGATTCGGGCTGATCTGTTGAAGAGGCGGTGGGCAATTTCCAGACCACATCTGCCATGTCTCTAATTGGCTCTCAAGGGTGGCAAGTCAAGACATGTCTGCTTGCGCTGCCCGCTGTGCATGAAAAGAGAAGAACTTCATTTCCAGTTTTTGACTGTTAGACTCGAACCGAACTGTTCTTACCTTTTTAGCTCAGACCGAACATAAACTCGAATATACACACGAAATGTCTCGAACCATTCAATTCAGTCTGTTTTGGATATCATCGTGCAGGATAACCATCAAAACGTTCAGCATTGGTACCCTGTACTGAATCTTACGTTCAATATTGATATGTTGATGGAGGGACAAACGTCCGGGTAGGGCTGAAATGTAAGAGGAAATATCTCAAATATCCCGTGTACCTTGCATTTTCAGCTAGTGAAGAACCTACTTGCCCATGTGGACGAGCAATCTAAGAAAATAGAGGCGGCCAAGTCCCAGGCTGTAGGTACACGGAACATGATGTCCGCTGAAGTCGAGACGCGAACAGAACTTCTGCGAGATCAGAGAAACATAATTTCTGACAAGCAAGAGCATCTTGAGGTAATGAGCTCCTTCAAAATGTATATTCCAACAGAGGAACTTTTTAAACTAAGTTATCATATCAAATCCCAAATGCTCATCGTGGTTCGTGATGCTTTTGACCAAATTCCAAGTTGTGCCTCGCATCCTCCGTAATTCATGCCATCCGTACATTTCATCCGCCCATAGCTGGACTGCGAGCATCCTCGTTTGCTAATAAACAAGCGTGTCAGTCAATGAGGTTTTAGTGTACCATACTTGATACGTTTTCTACTCAGGCAGGCTGCTGAATTAGATGATGGATTTAACGGGTCTCTAGGCATGCCCTGTAGAGTTTAAGCACAAGCTTGGCCTGTGAGTTAGTGCCCCCTATCGCTTCTGTTAATGGGACAATAGTCTCCAACGGACGGATGCATTCGGTCGACCTGCGTCTGTCAAGTCCTTGTTGCGGTAGATTATGTATTTGTACTTACTCTCGGCCAACCTTAGACTTCGAAGTTCTTCCTGAAGTGTAGCTTCTGAATTTAGATTAAATGCGTGTAATGACATGCATACTCAAAGTCATTGATTACACCGGCTGCGATAGCTTTGCTATCATATCCTTACCCACCCGATGAAAAACTGCATTATACAGCATTCAGCAATATTCCGTTCCGTGCGGAAGTGAATTTCCATGGGAATATCCACCAACAGCTGTACTGCAGTCCTCCCGTCTCCATGGATAACTGTAAGTTTAGAGTTTGGGGAATTGAATTTCCATGGGAATATCAACCAACAACTGTACTGCAGTCCTCCAGTCTCCCTGGATAAACCTCAGTTTAGAGTTGCGATCATCCGCTCAAATCAGTTCCATCATGAATCTTAGTAATTTATGATGAAAACAATGGATATATCCAAGGAGGCAGTGAGACAGGAAGGACTGCAACACAGGGATGGTTATTGACAATCGCCTAGGATCTAACGACCAACAGGAAGGTGACTAGATAACAGATCCACAACTTGGTTGCAATCCAAGTGAGTAGTATCTATGCTACAGGGAGTGTGTAGGCCATGCTCAACAGCTCGTCATTTGTGGACTGGGAGAATAATCGTGTCAGCAGTTCAATCGGCCCAGACTTCTTGCCAAGCAAGGAGTTATGGAGAAGACTGATGCCATTATCGGCCTTTGCTATAGCAGCTTACACTTCTTTTTCAGAAGCTTGGCAACGATATTTTGTCACTACTGCAGAGGTAAATGGAGAGCACGTTTTCTTTACCATAAGATGACTGCTTGCTTTCCCTCAAATGCTGTTCTGCTTTGCAAACTCTCATCATGACAGAGTTGCACATCTCATGAAAATTACTGCCTGGATGTGATCTGGACAAATTCCGAATGTGCTCTCGCAACTATGAAGTCAAAGTCAGAGCATGCACCAAAGCGTTTAACACAAGTACAGGGAACAATTTTCAAAGACTTCAATCACCATTCCACATAATCAATCGGGCCATCGGGCTTTGCTCGGTCATGAAGGAAGAATAAGCCTACGAGCAGTCCGTCCATAACTAATGAAACAAGATTGTCTAGTACTTCCTACTTCTTATCTGCTAACTGTATCCCAACTGCTAAACAACAAATTGCAGAGGTTGAATGCGGAGCTGAAATCATTGTTTATGGTGAAACAAGAACAAGAAGTACTCATCGCTCAATTGTCAGAGTCCAGTTTGCCGGTACAGTGAATTTACCGTACGTTTGTCATCCAAGACAATCATGACTTTGGTGAACAGGCTCCTTCCAGGTATAGTTCCAGCTTCCAAACTAATTGCAGAGAACAGCAGCATTTTCGTGACAGACGATGGTAGAATTTACAGTTAGTTTTTTTCCCTCGCGTCTCCTTCATACCGCGACAGTAGAAACTTGAAGTGAGAACGATATTGCCAATCCAAATCCTGATTGTATTGGCTATACTTCGCAACAATGAGTGGATACTTCAAAAGAGAGGGAAGACTGGACCTGGGTTAAAGTGAGGCAGTCAGGAGCCATGGTGTCTGATCCAACTTTCATACTAGAAAAACAATGTGAAACCAGGGCAACAGTGAGATTAGTTCATCACGACATATAATACACCAATTGTTTGTTTGCATATGGAATTTCTCCAGTCTCCCACATTGAGCTTGGTGTCTCAGGTGCTCAAAGGTAGAAGCCCAGCGTATGAGGTGATTGTGGCAATCGACGAGGCCGGCCTACTACTTGCTCATTCGTTTCGAGGATTGAACTGGAGAAGTGGTGTGCGGTTGGTGAAACAAGCAAGTCTAGTGATTCGTCGGGGAAGATTGGAGGGCAAACGGCGATGGAGAGCGAACTTAATAGTCTACGGAGTACGATCGTCATCGCGAACTCATCTGAGGAGAATTACATCAATAGAAGCTGGTTTCGCTCAAATTTCTTGGATCAGAGTAATTTCAAATTCTGGGAGATCTACGGGCTACAAATCGCACTTACATGGAACTGTGACTCATCTGATTCTAGAATTAGATGATTCAAAGTTCCTGGAACCTATGCCTAGACTCCTAGAAGTCCTATCCAACCTACGTTGCATTCAGGAGTGAACTAGATTAGATCATTTGCTCATGAAAACCGTCGGAATTGTGGAGTGACTTGGTGATGAATGACAAAGTTTACCAGTTGAATTGGTCGGGAGTTGTCACTCAGAGCGATATACATCTATTTAGGAGAAAAATTACCACATCTCTCAGGGGAAATTGATTTTTTTGTTATACCGGTCAGTTGTAAATAATCCTATAACAACGGATGCAGCATTCGCCGTTATGGTCTATCTTTTCACTTGGACCAGCGATAAGTGTCTCCTTGTCCAAGCCTTTTGAATCCTAGTCTGTAGTACAATATCCTCTAAGATCCCGCACTGAAATCAGACGAGTCAATGACCAGATATTTGATTTATCTAGAGAAAACACAAGGAGATTCTTTGCCTGAGATCCGCAGCTCTACCATCAACTTGCGTTTGTAAGAATATAAGATTTTTAAGGTTCCTTGCTACTATACACTGTAAAGAGAAGACCACCAATATGGATTTACACTATTACTCATTTGATGGGCCAGTTGATTCATATCGATGATCTCGATGGTAAGGTGATCATTTGTTGAGGCAGTCGTCTATGAACGTTCTACACAAGTTCTCAAATGGATGCGATTTAGAAAGTTTCATGGATAGAACAACATTCTCATTAGCATACTCTATATTCCGTTAGTTGAACCCTTCTGAAATCTTGGTTTTGAGTGACTTATATCTACGTTTTTGAGATATTTATGATCAATGGTCACTGAAAAAGAAATGTGATACCTATGTACGCATTGACCTCACTTTATTTGACATAACTTTGGGAGAACATTCAAGGAGGAATTTATAAAAGATAATGTGCATTTCTATGGGACTTATAATATGAAATCCTGCAACGGTTGATCCCATTCTCGCTAGAATTTATCTGTTGATACAGATAGTAGAACTCGACTTCAGAAGTTGGAAAGTAGACGTGCAGTAGACAAGAAGACCGCGGAAGCCATTCACGGCCGCATGCACAAAATTTAGGATAAAATCAAAAAATCTATATAAAATACGAATCCACATACACCTAACTTGAACTAAAAAAAGCAATCGTGAAGAGACACACATCTTTTGAGAAGGGCCAGATATTTACCAGATAGAGACAGTGTACATTTTGTCATAATCTGGATTCAGCAATACACTTCACTGCAACATACAGATAAGAAGAGTTGCGACCTTACATATAGAAAATTCTTTTGGAATGAAATGTTAAATGGAGATGAACATATCTTCTTCGTGACTCTCAAAACATATGACAAAGAAATGAAATCTTTTACCTAGCTACACTTAAGTTTGACCCTTACTACATTGTTATGCACTTGCTTATTGCCATGCTAACCATTTCTGTTCAATTGTCTGTAGGATGGAGTTGACACGCCATAAATTTCCATGATATCACATATCTTATCTACTTGAATTATCAATTTAGCTGTAATACATATTAAAAGTTACATCTTGTGGAACATTCTATATGATTCAAAACATTATCTATGTATCATTGCAGGTCTCACTGATAAATGGGATCATTAAGTATTCCAATTTGATTCTCTCAAATTTTGAGTTCTTTGTCATTACCTAGGTAGCTCATATGCTTAATTACATAGAATGAAATGGAATGAGAAATCATATTATAACGCTTGTAAGCCCAATGTGGAAAGACATTGGTCATGTAATATCTCTGTACTAGGATGATTTCAAGTACCATTTCACTTGTAGGTCTTATTGAGGCATATGTTATCAGTACAAGAAGCACAGCTAATGAGATCAAAACCTCTTTACTATGTCATGTGGTCCTAGTCTCCTAGGACGATCGATATTAGAGAGCTTTACATTTAACTTGCAAATCACATTTTGCCCAAATAATCTTAAAAGTTCAAAATTGACTACATATGATATCATCTACAACATGAAATGATACGTAGATATGTTTCAATGACGAGAGTTAAAGATACAGTTTTTTGTAAAGATGGTTTTCCTCATCATGTATATCATATTATCATATGATAAAAATAAAACCATTTGAATTCTCTCATATTCAGAGTTTATGTTTCATCTTTGAGTGAATTTCTCTCTCCATACTAATGTTACAATATATAAGAAAAGAAGAAACATAAACAAACTAATTGGTTGAATAATTTTATCACTAAGATTGTATTAGCACATGAGTTTGTTAATCTTCATTATGATAATAAGTGTACATTACATTTTGCTACAAATAAAATAATGTATGACGGAGAGAATCATATTGATATCAACTATCATATTATAAAGTTGAATTTTTTTATAAAATTATTGAACTAGTCAAAATTCACAGTATATTCAATCCAACTGATACATTGGTCAAAATTTTTGTCTTAAAAAATTTTAGAAGACACATTGCTATGTTGCACAATGTTTTGAATGATTTTGAACAAGTACCACAAATACAATTGATTAGTAATCTAGTTACCTCTATATATTTTTACTCTATTTTTTTTGAATATGATTTAGTTCTAATTTGCTCTAGTTTTAAGAGTAAATTATGTTTAATTTCTTTCTAGACCTTATTATAGAGTTGTTTTATGCATAATATAGATTGTTGTCATTATGACATAAATTAAAAGTGAGATTTTTAGTATTATTTTATGTTTTGTTTAATTCAAGTAGTTTAAACCTCGTCAGGATTTAGATTTTTCCATCATTATAGAAGAAAGTTAGTTAAAGCTTTTGTTGAACACTTTAGAGTCTTTATCAATAAAATTTTCCCTAAGTTTTCATGAATTGTGAACTCTGGGCTGACTCTCATTTAGATTCACCTTAGATGAATTTTTGATAGTTTATCATGATTATAGAAGACAAATATTCATCTTCATGAACTCATACCAAACATCTCCTCACACAAAGTTTTCACTCATTACTTAAAATTTAATCACTAATCGACATTTCAAGATGATAGTGTAACTCAAACTTCAATAGATGAAAAAATTTTTCAAACAATAAGTAATCAAAATTTCTTTGAAAATGTATTTTCTACCAATTCTTTATTTTATTTAAACAATTATAATAATAACATATGGTATTATCATTTAATTCTCATTATGTGGCAACATGCCATTGATGTATCCAAACTTTCTAAAAGTTTTTATGTTCTTGGATTGAGGTGGTATCATATCATTTGAGAATTTGAAACATTATTAGAAATTCCAATTTTTACTAAGTTTATTTTAGACTTCATTCAAACAATGAAATTTTTATTATTTAGTCAGATTAATCAAAACTAACATGTAGTCAAATTTTATTTAAAAGAAATCTAGATATTGATAGGAGAAAAAATTAGTAATATTCACTTATAATTTCTAGAAGTATCATAATTATTTTGCCAATTATAGACTTCATAGCTAGACTTAGTCATAGCGAGCTAAACACAATCATAACTAAACTTACCATAGCAAACTCTTTGGTTAGTTCTAATAACGACTCACACATACAACTGTACATCTTATGTAACATCTTACAAAAGAATCAAATCATGTAATTTGCATTCATATTTTTGTATATGCTATTCTCAACATTTCAATTTCTCTGCATTTTCAATATATGCTTATGGATTCATGGTGAATCAATTCAAATAGACTACATTCTAATTCATATTCCAAAAAAAATCATACTTTTTATGTGATTTCTTGCTAATAAATAAAAAATTATATTTTTCAATTTTTATTTCTTTTTTGTCATTTTTTTTGACATCATAGATTTAAACTCATGATCTTTTTTAATCACACGTTTTGTTTCAATAAAAAGCGCGTTGATGTAAATTATTAGTCTCAACGCTGCAAATTTTGTGAAATATGGGAAGATTTCAAAGCTCAGTAACTACTAGCTCTTAACCTTAAATCATACCATCATATCATAAAAGTGTATTACCGGTTGTCGCCATTGCAGGGTGTGGCATTCTCATGAGTTATGCATACGCGTAGGAAGCGAAGGAAGGTACAGTAATTATAGCGGTTCTTGAGGAGAGCTTGTACTTGGTATGAATAAGAGTTGGAAAGCGGTCAAGTCGTCTAACAAGTGTCATGATGTTGTTGGCACCTTTATTCTCTAAATTCATGTAAATTCAAGGTACATCTGAATAATGTCGACCTCCAGAGGCTTACTGGCGGGATGGCGCCCCAAAAACCAGACTCCTATGTTATGCGAGGAGATATGACTGGTGGGAAATGTCTTACAGCCACTGAGAGGGGTTGACAAGAGGATGCAAAATGAACACGAATCAGATCCAGCAACTTTCAGAGAATTCAGTAACTCCAGCATGAAGGTGTGCGAGCAGTAGCGCCGTACATCCTTTTGCATCAGTAGTCGCTAGCACGATCCAAAGTACGAGGCTTTAGAGGGATGTTTGAACATCGAGGCTGATTGGCTATGAAGAAGTCCTTCGTTTCTGTTTCCAATGCTGCAATATATCCCTCCACAGCTGAGCTTACAAACGATGCAATTAGAAACATGCTTATAGTAAAAACGAATTATCGTGATCATGCACCTTTCTTGTCTTATCTGCATGACAAGCCTCGCCAGAAATTAAGTTTCATTCCAGCAGTCTATGTACAACCTATGTCCCTGTGATGACTAAAGCCGAAATTAGTACAAGATCTTTCAGTCCAAATTCCAGTGACATTCAATATTTCAAGCTAGGAAAGAATAAGACTAGTTAATGGTTACTGATCGCACCTAAAATTTCTCGGCCGAATAGTATCGAATTGAGCACTGTCGGCAGAACGGCCAACCGATGTAATGTACTGGAGTTTGTGAGAATCTGCAATAAACGGACTGGTCTGGATCGTTGTTGCGTAGTTACAGCCAAAGACATATGTTGAAGACTTCAGAAAATCACCAGATTCATGAAGTTATCTAGACGTCACCAGCATACTTGGTTACATCGACCTCTATACCCAATGACATTGGCGGTATTGTTCTTACGCCCTCGGTCTTAAGTCAACTACTAGTTCATTCTTTGAAATTCTACAGCATATGCACCGATGTGAATTGAAAGCCGCAAACGAGACGAGGCAAGTATGCCTGCCGGCTGGCTAGTTTAGATCTGGACAATCGAACCCAATGCAATGGAAACAACCGTACGCCAGGGCGGACCGACTGGACCACCGTCCGCTCTGCAACAGTCCTCAGAATCCAGGCAGATGTGAAAATTAGGCTCTCCAGCGTCCTAATAAGATGAGCTTGAAAGGCTCAAGAAATTCATTCACGAACAGTGAATTGGTGACTGGTGAGACGTCTGGTCCTATAAACTCCATGCATCCTAGCGCGTTGACCTCAAGACAACAGTTAGTTATCTCGATCCATCCGACCATAGATCGGATATGGCAGGCCTCCGCTTAGTTACAGAAGAAAAGTTAGACCCGCTGATCGAGGTCGCCGACCGAGCGACCGTCCGTGTGCGTGGTCCAATGAAAGGGACG